GTCTGTCTGTCTGTCTGTCTGTCTGTCTGTCTGTCTGTCTGTCTGTCTGTCTGTCTGTCTGTCTGTCTGTCTGTCTGTCTGTCTGTCTGTCTGTCCTTTCTATTTATGGTGAGTGGTTTGCGATGCGAGAGGGCGGTCTCTCTCTCTCTCTCTTATGGAGAGGCAGGTGGGATGAGAGGAGGGGATTAGAGGGATCGGAGAGGAGAGGAGAGGAGAGGAGAGGCGAGGAGAGGAGAGGAGAAGATGAAATAGCACGGCCGTTATACATTTCCAAACGTCGAGGAATAAATAGTACATGGCATATGGCATCAAGGGGAATCAATCACCAAAGGGCGCATCAAGACATCAAGACAGCAAAGCCCGAGCAACACGTCCACAACAAGTCTCGATATATTATTTCACATCAATCATCAACATTCCCAGGCGTCGACAAAATCTAATCTCAAAAGTTCCCGCCCTGCGATTTGATCATATCAAAAAAAAACAGAAAGCCCGTCCCGTTGCTAAGCAAAAAAACCGCCACCACCACGCTATCTATGCAAGTAACCAGAAACGCTATAATAAAAAGACAGTGGTATATATCGTACGGGCAGAAAACGGTCGTGGCAGATCGTAGAACGTAGGTCGTAGACAAAGAGCCGTGAGGAAGTCTCAAAAAGTAACATGCGACGCTAGAACGCTCGACGATAAAGTGTAAAGACGACGAAAGAGTGTGAGGAGAAGAGAGAGAGCCGGAGCAAACAACAGGAAAAAGACAACGCTGTGTGACGGAGAGTGACCAAACAAAGACATTATGAGTCGCCTTAGGTGATGGTAAGGCAGATATGGCGGCAAACAAAAATTTCCCACGCCCAGCGCGAACGAAACGAATCGAAATAAAAGTATGCAAGTACATGTACCCATACACGTTCAAAGTAAAAAGGAACATGAGCGGACTTAGACGCTCACGGTGCGTCGCACCGCGCAAGCTGGCTTCTGTGCATATGCCACCAAAAGTCGGAAGCTCGTGCCGCGGCTCTCGCACTCTCGCAACAGAGAACCATTGTTCCAGAGGCTCTCTGAAAGATCGCCTTCAGGAAGAGAGATGCCTTCGTAGCAGCGACTGTACCACCAGCGACCAACACGCGCCACCATGTCGCCGATGTTGGCGTTTGCTTCGTTGGCGATTGCTGGATCGGGAGATGGTGGTGCACCAAGGAGGTCTGTAAAGTTCGGTGCTGGGGCTCTCAGGCGGGACATGCGCTTCTTGCGTTTCGAATTAGGAGACTTTTTCGGGTCTTGTACATGCACCATGCCGTTCACTTGGAGAGCTTGTTTGCATGACGGCTCGTCTCCGCCTGAGCTGTCGCTGCTCCAAGAAGTTACGCGGCCGGCAGCCACTGGCACCGCAACCATGCAGCGATTGATGTTTTCAAAGTTCTTGCGGCCAATAAGGCGCATGACCATATCGCCGACAGGCTTCAGGCTGACCTCTGGCTCGTCAGCACTGATATCCATCTTAAGGCCCCGGACGGCGCGGCGTGCACGGTTGCCCATGTTGATGAGATCGATATCGAGGATGGAGAGTTCAAGATAGCCACCAGGACGAAGGACGCGTTTACATTCTGCGATGCAGTTCTTATACGTCGCCTCGCTGGCGGCAACTGGAAAGCGGTACACTACCGCGGCGAAGTAGCGCTTAGGGAAGGGGAACATAGTTAACATGTCCGAGTGCGAGACATGTTTATGGTTTGGGACATTCGACCATGCCGTCCCAGGGTTTGCGGTCTCGGTGCCTGGATTGAGATTGAATATGGTGGCTTCTGGGTAGGTCAAAGCACAGTAGTAGGACCAATCTTTCTGCATGTTAGCTCAACTCGATGATATGGCCAAATAGTCCACGTACCTTTGCCGAGCCCGTCGACGACGAGCACCCTGTCTTCGGTATTGTCTTTCAGGTCGAAATGTACAGGACTGAAAAGGACACGGCCAAAGGACAGCCACTTGCTCGTCATCAAAGCACCGAAGCGCAAATTCGCCATTGTCTCCAAGCCATCCTTCTCATTCTCCGCCCTTTCAATCAGCTTGCTGTCGCGATATCTGCTGGATACGCGTCTCTCCTCAGTCGAGCCCACGGTAGATCTAGATTGACGAGCTGCGACCCCGACGGATGCAGGAAGGCTTGATCGTGTTGAAGCGGGTCGGGATGTGTTGTCATCGCGCTTGGTTGCCTGTAAACTAAGGCGACCAGTCGCGGGGTCGACAATGCTGATTCCACGCTCGCCGTACATAGAATAGAGATCAGATACAGAAGGGTACGTCTGCGATTTTGGAGAACCTGCGTGTAGTACGGATAGCAAGCGAGAGCGACGTAGATGGATGGACTGAGGATGGGATGATATAGAAGTATGAGCAGACCGGATCATGTCCATTGACACGCGGAATGGAATGTCATCCGATGCCTCAAGTGAATTATTCGGCTGGACCGCTCCCGGTGACTTTTGTTGCCGGGCAAAGGGAGAATTGACCGACTGATCACCAGGGGAGAGCACATCATCAATCAGATCATCGTATTCGTTCCAAATCTCGTCCTCGCTTAGTGGAGCACCAGGAGGCGAAGCAACCGTCGTCGGGTATGCAAAGCTCCACACTCCTGAGCTGCTTGAGCAAGATTGTTCGGAGTTCTTGCGAGGCGGGAAGGCCAAGAACTCGTCACCATGTTGATGTTGAGCATAACTTAAAGGCAGCGAGCCCATGTTCGGTTCGTTGAAAGGTTTTCCAAGGCCGATAGGAAACGCGTCTGTCAAGACAGTGTTGTCGACAGCGAGCGATACTTGAATTGATTCAACAGATGTACGCGAGGGCTTGATGGAAGGCAGAGGTTGTGTCGGAGGAAATGGGCGAGAGAAGGACTGATCTGACAGTTTGACATCTCGATCTCGTCTCGAAACTACTGGCGGTATACGACCTAGTGGTACGAGCCGGGTCGGACGAGGAGCAGGGACCTTTTGTACCGGCTTCACCGGCTCATGTTCAGCCTCGATGCGTTCCGGTGGAGCATCGGGTTCAGCGGACTTGGGAGGTGGTGGAGTCAAGTCGACTAGGTTCTCTTTGCGTAGTCTGACTTGAGGCGATGCGGGACGTTCCGAAGACGCAAATCCGGCAGGAAGTAGTGGCGGAGATGGAAGCAAGATGGAGTCGACGTGTTTGGCTCCTTTACGTACGTTCACATTGTTGATTTCGTGTGTCGGAGCCGAAGGGATCTCTGGGGAGGGTGTAGGCACGTCTCTCGGCTTTTCGGGCGAATTCGCTGCCTCTTCCATTATTTGTTCGATATCATCAAGATCAATTTCGCCACCATTCATGAGAGCGTAATGCGGTACCGACCGAGATGATGGCACATGTACGGCGTGTGCATTCCCACCTGGTGTCTCCCTCTGAGGTTGTGCGGATCTCTGGAAAAAGTTCCACTTCCTAGCGAGCTTTGGCTGCGAATGTGGCTGTTGTTCCCTGGTCGACTCTGATTTCTTTGACTTCAGCCAAGTACCTTCCTTACCTTCTGACGGGTCCACCTTCGAGTGGCTTGCAGTCCGGGAAGCTGAAGGTCTTTGAGCCTTGCTAGGTTCAGGTTGTGGCGCAAGCGTTGCAGATTTGCCAGGGGCAGATGTCGACTGTACAGATCGCCTCACGTTCGATGGGCGCATAGCGCCAGACTTCCTCTCTTCATCACTTTCCGACGGTCGCCGGAAGCCAAAACCAAAACGTTTCATGGGTGAGGCACCTCGACCATCAGCCATTGCAGATGGTAGAAGCGTTGGCTTCGAATGCGCGGCTTCCCTGGCCCGAGAACTACCGATCGCAACATAACTTGTGGATGACTCTGCGCCCGCACTCACTACATCATCAACAGCGGAGTCGAGACTGCTCGTACTCCGGATACCATCCGGGCTGTAGCAAAGCTCGGCACTGCCACCACGAATTATGACAGGCGCAAGTCTTTCACGGAAATAGTCGTCCAACTCATCGTCTTTCTGGCTACTGAGACTGCTTTTCCGGCTAGACGGAGTCCTCTGTGTACGACCGTTTGTGCTATCTTGGCTCGCTGTCCGTCCAATGCTGCCTGCATTGCTCGTCGTGCTTCCACTACGTCCACGTGTAGCGTACTTGCCATAGCCTTCATGACCAGTGCCCGCCATAGGCCCTTTACGGAGTAGTTTCTTCTCTTGCTTCGCTGGAGCTTCACTGGGATCCGTCTTGTTGCGCTTGAAAAAGCCGAATCGCGAACCAGACTTGACTGACTTGACAGGGCTTGGGGCGGTCACAGACCTAGCTTGTATGGCCATCTTCTCCGAATCGCTCTGTATCTCAGGAGTCGGGCCTCTCGACGTAGGTATACGCGAGATATGCGAAGGAAAGCCAGGCGAATCAATGGCTGGAGAAACTGTTTTGCTGTAGCTCAGACTTGGAGTCGACTTTGAATCAGTAGAGCTATTCCGTCGGTGCGAGGGGAGGCTAGCCATATTGCTCTGGATTATTGGAGATTGCTGTCGCATTCCAGATAGCTCAGGGGCCCCTTCTCGACTGGGTCTTGAGGGTCTTCCAATCATGAGTCGCCTAGGTTCAGCATCCACGGCAAGATGCGCAAGCTCTGGAGGTGCTTGGACATCTGACGTAGCACTGGTACGTCGAGACGTGCTACCGCGTCGCTCAATGGGCTTCTGGAGTGATGTCTGAGTGGTAGACGGAAGCAAAGACAGTCTGGAGCCTTTAGCCGGGGCCTTTGTATGTGGACGAACATTAGTAGCAAGGACAGTCGATGCGGAAGAGGAGGATGCTGATGATTCGCGAACTAGAGGCAGACCCTCACGTTCACGATGCTGCGACTCATCCGTGCTTTTGCGTACTACAGGCGGCCTACTCTGCATAGGACTCATCTGCCTTGACCGAGGGATTGTCTTGTGGGTCGAAGTAATCCCTGGTGAGTAGGAAGATATGGATGTTGGGGTAGACACATGGCTGAAGCCAGTGGGTGACTCGGAGTAGGTAGTCGAAGGAGTGGCAGAAGTCGCATAGTGTGGGGTTGGAGGAGACAAATTGTCCGTTTCGAGATTATGCGGCATCTCAAGGGCAGATGGATGCGTCTGAGAGGCTCCTTTGTGGGAAGTCGCGATAGTGGGCTGAGGAAGACTGATTCCCAGAACGGAATCTGCAAAGGGGTCGACGTAGGTTCGAGGGATATGTCGCATGTGACGCTCATCTTCTTGGGATGCTATGGAGCTAGGATGGCCGTGAGCAGTCGGTCTTCCAATGGACGATGGTTTTCTTCGGAGTCTGGCCGATCGTGGACTATCGACCTCTGACAAAGATGAGCCGGATATAAGAGACGGAGTTCTTGTGCTTGCAATACCGTCGTATCGCACTGAACGACCCCCTACACTGGGCGCAACAGGTCGAGGATGTGTGGCCAAGGGGATATGTGTTGAAGGTGGTGCCAGCTGATCGTTCCTGTTCATCGGCCTCTCCGTATGCTGTGGTTGCTGCGCTCTGTTTCTCGGCGTTCCCAGATGTTTACTAGGGGTCGGCTGTCCGTTCTCGTTGTCTCTTGTGGGTCTCTTCTTGAGAAGCTTCGCTGTTGGAGGTGCAGTGCCGGGCTTTGAGTAGGTCGTCGAAGCGGTTGATCGCGGAGGCAATCGAGTAGAAGGACGTCGCTGGGCGGGAGGAGCTTGAAGTTCCGGTCCCGACGGCAGGACTGTGTGCGACTTGTGTGATGCCATCTTGAATACCTATCCGGTACTACAGTGGCAAGGGGCGCTGGGTGGCCAGGCGCGGTTTGACAAGAATCTGTGTAGCCGAGGGGACTCATGAAGGCGTGGGTGCGACGAGGGTACTACTATGAGCTGTGGTCCATCCAGGACTTTGGCAGACGATATGGTCCAGGTATACAGCCAAACATCCAGAGATTATGCCGACGGAAGACGTCTCGGGTAATTCCCACGCCAGCAAAGACAATTCAGAGGCGGTCCGAAGCGTGCGGGCGGCGGCGGCAACGTAGTCAGTAAGTCTGATTTAAGCGCCGGGGGTTATATATGGACGAGTATTAGGGCGCTGATGTCAGATCCGAGACTTGTAGTCGGGGTAGGATGGAAGAATGATAGAAGGCCGTAACTGTAAATATGTCTGTGTGTTATAAGTTAGCGGGGGGGATAAGGCAGATAAGAAAGAGTGGTAGAGCGGTGGAGGCCGGATTGCGGGACCCCAGAGCTTAGGGACGGATCGCAGTGTATATTCCCCAAATAAAGGCGCTCGAGCTGCGGCCGTTGCCCCACCAAGCGTGATAGGATGGATGACTTTTTAGGTAAACTTACCTGATGAGGAACAGGGACAGGGCTTGTAGTTGCCAGCGTATCTCAGTGTAGTGCGATGCGACGGCGCCTCCGACCGACAGACGAATAGACAGACACAGTGACAAGACTTGATTGACGTGCCAGGGCTTGGAAGCTGTGGCTCAGCCTCACTAGGTACTGGTACTGGTACTGCCTCTGGTTCGCGGTGCGTGGGTTATATGCAGCTTGCCAGCCAACGAAAATCTCTGTCAATTACCAATGCTCTTTTCGAGAAAACGCTCTCTGCTCCGTGCGTCGTCGTATTGTCTTGTCGACGATCCGGAGCTGTCACGAGGAGGAAACCTTTTTGGATGATGGACTGGCCATTCGACGACCCGTACACGTTATTCGCTCCAGGTACTCAGGCGATTGCAAATGGAGCGTCGAATAAGTGTATGTGTACACTGTCGAGACCATGTGGATATGCGGCGAAAAACAGTCGGTGCTGCTACAATGTTTGTGTCGTGCTCGAGAGGGCGCCAGCGACAGGTATAAAGGGCTGGAAGCTAGCAGACGGAGCGACAGTGATGATGACTGGAGCGGCACCATCTCCCGCCATGACTCTGCTCGAGGATAGTTGGAACAAGCGTAACACGACAGGAAGACGCATGGTTGGCGGTTCAAGGACAGAGTAGGATGCAAGAAAACGGCGAGTGGGGATGTTGTGGTGTCCAGTGAATGCAGAGAAATGAAGCTACAAGCTGTGATTGGCTGGAGAAGCGGGGGCCAAGTTTAGCCGTGTTTATGCCGCTAATTCCAGTCCCGCAACACCACAGGCCTTTTTCTATATTCTTCCGCCTCTCCACCGTCTCCACTACTCCAACGCCTCCATGGGTGTATCTATAAGTGCTCAATCCTGATGAAAAACTACATGAGCTGATCTACGAGTCAGTACGCATTCTTCAACTGTGCCCTCATCTCGTTACGCCCAAGTATGATCCTGAAGGCTCTGATGCAAGTCCTCTCGTGCGGGAACGGCGTCTATAACTGGACGCGATTGGAGACTGCTGATCTGCAGTATGCTACAGGACGGACGTCACATGCTCTTGATTCTCTGATGCGATCGCGCTGTTCTGATTTAGACCAACATGGCTCCCTGGCCAGTCCAACCGCGCTCATGTAGTCGCGCAGACCGCCATTCTTTGCGCAGGGTACAATCAGTTTGAACACCACCATGCTCCAGATGCCTGTACATTGCAAGATAGTCCCAGTAACCTCTGGGTTGTATGTCAGGATGGGCAAATCGGAAGTACCGTGCTCGTCCAGCTGAGGCCAGCGTCTTAGCTGCATGGTTGAGGCTCTAGCTGTGGCGAAGTCGCTGGCTCTCACGCCACACTTGACAACGCATACTTCAATGACATACACTCGTTATTCATCGTTGCAAATTTCTTGAAGCTCGAGCTCGTTCTAATTGCTTTGCAGAGACTTCGATTCCATCTCCGACATGAGGCCCAGGGTTCAAAAATAAAACCCATTCCATTGCGTAAAGATTAGACACCCTTGCCCCCGCTCCGGCCTGGCTTCAGGCCTTTTCGTGTCTTGGCCGACTTCTGTATCATGATTCGTTGTCTGCGCGTGCAATGAAAGAACTTCACGCAGCAGATATCTGTCACGTGTTTCTATATCCACCAATGGGACGCGTATAACACCATCTGCTCCTTGTGCGCGCTACCATTGTGTTTGAGGGTCCACTTCAGACTTCAGCGTTCTCGATTCCACCAGTCTAGCATGAGATGAAGATTTTTCGCATCCTGCTCAACTCTGGTTCGGACCGTTGCCAGAGATTACACCCGCGTTTGGCGTCCAGAATGGAGATCAGAAAGGCCCGGCACGAGAGACGGAAGCTATACTATTCCTGCTGAACCGACCATACGAATCGAAGTGGTAAGCACACGTTGAAATTAGTGGTATTTATTCTCAGTCTGTCACAGCACGGCCCTGCTGACTTACGTTGAGACTGGGCGCTTACGCTGCATGCTATCGCGTCTTGGATCTTGACTGACCTATCTTTGAGGCCCCGGCTGAACCTGTCTCCGCGCTGTGTCACCCTTCCGCGTGACTTTGTTGTTGTGGGATGATGTAGCCATATGGAACGACTCATCGTTTGTTGCATTTCAGACATATCCATCACATGCTCGACGAAGCTAGACCTTGTGCCGTGACAGCTAGAGTGGAGTAGAAGTGTGCATTCGATGGATCACCTGGGGTAGAGCCGATGCTCTATACGTCATGAATGTCAGAAGCTATGGTGTTTGAAGCACAGATGGATGGCTTGTTTTGGTAGACAAACACAGAGATATCGAAGGGATTGTCCTAATTACTATCAATAGGATGGATCCACTTTTAGAGTCAATAGCTGTGTTTACCCGGACTTCTACCGCGCCTCGTCGCGCACTCAATGGAAAGAACCATCACTACAATCATCACCATCGTCGGCCTCCTTTCTTCAACTTTTCTCCAACATCCTTCCATCACTCGCGCAACAATCGCTCTTCAACAGACGTCTTTGCGCATAACGCGACGACGGCCTCTTCGACTTTCGCTGCAGGTCTGCACGACGTCCAACACTCCCTAACCCATCTTCATTGTTTGTCGCTTACACGCGCGACCTCCACGTCATACGATCCCACAGACGCGTCTTATCTGACTACAGACCTTCCCACACCATGACGGACTACGCAAAGCTCAAGAACGATGAACTCCAGACTCTGCTCAAAGAGCGAAGTCTTCCACATACTGGCAAGAAGGCTGAGATGGTAGCGCGCCTTCAAGAAGACGACAAGAAGAAAGCCAGTGTCGCTGCACCCACACCCTCCGCGCCTGCAGTGCCAGCTGAAGATGTCATTGACTGGGACGATGACGCTGATGCTCCCGCTGCTACGTCAAAACCCGCTGCTGCTGCCTTGGCTGCTGGCGGTCAAGGCCAAGTTGCAAACCCACAAGCTGTACCTAATCAAGTTGTCGCTACCGACCCTGCCACAACCGATGATCTCTCAGTCAAGGCTCCCAATGGTGCGACAAACACTGATGCTCCAGCTGCCGTTGTGGAAGAGAAGAAGCCTGAGGTTGACTTCTCCCGCGGTCTAGCCGCTACCGACATTGAAGCTGAGATTGAGAAGCGCAGGAAACGTGCTGAAAAATTTGGCTTGAAAATTGAAGACGACAAGGATGCACAAGAAGCGATGGCAAAGCTTGAGCGGCTAAAGAAGTTTGGTGGTGCTGAAGCACCCAAAGGCCTCGACGAGGCTCTGCCCGAACGCCAACGTAAGCGTGGTCGAGATGCGGGCGATGAAGGTAGTCGAGGGGGTTTCAAGAGACGTGGTGGGGGTCCGCAAGGACGACGAGGCAACAACCCCAGGAGAGGTGGTGACAGAAGAGAAGGCAAACTCGATCGACCTACAGAGGGACGGGGGAACTGGATGACCAACGCAGACCGTGAAGCTGCCGATCGCCGGAAGGCCAGGTTCGCTGCAGCTTGAACGAACGAAAACTAAAGATTCAATCATTAATTTCACAAAGTCGACCTTGATGCTTTTCGATATTCGCACACGTCTTGACAGGCGAGACTTCAAGCAGTGATTCTTGGCGTCCGTAGCAGCAGCAGCAGCAGCAGCAGCACGCGGACTTGTATAACATTTGCTTTCGCCCTTAGTCTTGAGTTTCGGTGCAGGATGTCCGCAGCTCGTATTCAATTACATCTACCGTCGCGGCGTCGAATTTACCTCCCGTCCACATTAGTCTTGTGATACCCATGATTCATTCTAGCTCCACGATATTCTTTCGCCTCGCATCCCGGCAGGACCTGCCAACAAGTCAGCCAGCGGTAAAGCATATGGAGCAGCTTTTAACGCGGCTTCACGCCTGAAGTATAAGTCAGATCATGTATGCAATCGGCGTGAGGTCCCGACTCTGGGCACGTGGTTCCGCCTCCACGGATTAATCTGCTGTTGCTCCGCCATTCGCTTTGTCATTCACTGTGTTCACACAAGTACTGTAGAGCTGTACTCAGGGATCTCATCGGCTCACATCCCTGCATGACCATCCGACTAGACGGACCGCGCGCGTTTGATCCGCGACAAGATAGGACGAGCACTCAAATTGCATGCGGAAGTAGCGGAAGGAGGCTTTGGCGCCGGGGAAGAAGAGCTCGACCGCAAACGGTCTCCAGCGCAAGACTTGCCAATATATCTGATCCGCAACGGATGCTTGACGAAGTCAGGAAGCACCGACTTGAGCGAAGCGTCATCAAAATGATTCATTCGTGCTCCCTAAACTCCATCCGTCCATCTAGCTTGCGACTGCCTTGCTCTCCTTTCCTCACACATCGAACGCCAGAATTGTTGGGCATGAGGGCAAACACACACGCGTACATAGCTGGCCATACTCCGACATGCATAGTCTGTGGGGACGATATCTCCGAGACGCGTCTGCACGGAATCATGCTCCAACTAATTAACGTTGATACGTCAATCTATGTGAGGTGAAATTTGGGTTATGCCTCCGGGATCGAAGGAGAGCCGATCGGTCCCACGCTTAGCCTGTTCAAGCCTAGCCTCATATATATCCTCCGGTTCTCAACATGAACAAACACCAACGAAACGTGAGCTCCTGAGAAGCGTATTGCTTCATCAACAGATCAACGTGGTGCATTACTCAACCATCGAATGTACACCCCTCCAGGTCGTATACGCTTCCTCGCTATCTCAGCAGCCGATTCAAATCACCATGCTGTGCTTAATCAATGCGGATACAAAAGCAGAGTCTTCAAATGACAGGTAGGACAGCATAAAGCTGTGCTGATCTTGGCATGCAGCTTTGACCATTTATGAATATGACAAACGGCGCGAATACATGCTTTTGCTTTTTGACAGCTTCATATCCGCAACCTTCTTTAGTCCGGTCTATCAAGAACAATCTAAGAGTCAGACATGACATGTGTGTCAGTCATTTCAGGCCCCAGAGATGCGCGCTTGGCAGCATGATAATCGATAGGCACGGTCATCGGAGCAGTATGAGAGACGGCGACTCGCGGATTCTTGCATATAAACTCTCCGATGTCCTGATTCGGATGTTTGGGAGTCAACACTTGACTCTTCTGCGTTGGAGTGGTTCTGTTTCTGGTGAAGCCGCTCCTTCTTAGTCTCCATGCAGATCTTCGTATTGCTGAGTCCATCCCATTCATGGTACGGTTAGGTTTTCGTGGAAGTGTCAACCATGGTAGAGAATATTAGGCGTCCGTGAGTCCGTCTGATGTCAACGTTGAATGGCTGCCATCGAGTGTACATAGGATATGAATGCGCCAGCGCCTCTTGTTGATACTCTCGTTTCTTATCATCCACGCATTCATTGTGTAGCCCATCATATACAGTCTCACAATGGCTCTTCATACTCTCTTTCTGTGCATTGCTCTGCTCGTCGTCTACACGCTCTGGAAGCGATACTCAGCCAGGCATAGCATACCACATGGCTTGAAGCCACTTCCAGGCCCGAAAGGTATGCTGAGCAAAGTACTATTGCATGTCCTCATCTAAACCGTGTGCCAGGCATTCCATTCCTCGGTGTCGTCCCCCAGGTCCCAGAGAAGAACGCCCATATCAAATTCGCAGACTGGGGCAAGCAATACGGGCCCATCTACCAGTGCAACCTCGCCGGCACAAACCACGTCTGGATCTCATCCGACCAAATCGCCAAAGACCTCCTCGCAAAGAAAGGCGCCATCTACTCCGACAGACCACACATCCCCGCCCTCGAATCCGACAACCGCACCAGCGCGCAATACCTCCCCTTACTCTCCAAAAACGGTACCCTCAACCCCCTTCCCATCACTCTCCCCCATACACATACATGACTGACACACCACCCACCCAGACGCATGGCTCCGCCAACGCAAATTCGCAACCCACATCATGCGCGCCTCCGAAGCCGCCTCCTTCCACCACTACCCCGAACTCGAAGCAAAACGCCTCCTCACCGAACTCCTCGACGCGCCCCACGCGTACAACACCGCCCTCGAATCCTTCGTCGCCCGCGTCACCTGCCGCCTCGCCTGGGGCCACGCCGACGCCGCCGACGAACTCAAGCAGCGCGCCCGCGAGCTCCTCATCGCCGTCTCGCCCACCGGTGCGCTCGGCAACAGACTCCCCGCCATCATGCGTCTCCCCGCCTGGCTCAGCCCCAGCAAAGCATGGGAGCAGCGCCGCGCACGCACGGAGCGCGCCTTCTTCACTACCATGCAGCGCACCGTCGAGCACGATATGCGTGCCCCTGACGCGGATGCTGCGCCGCAGAGCTGGATGCGCGCGTTCTTAGAGGCGCCGAGCAGGTTTGGCTTTGTGGGCGGGGAGGCGGCGGAGGGGGCGTATGCGGTGGGGATGCATGGGATTGCCGGTGCGCTGACGATTGCGGCGCCCATGCAGACGTTTTGTCTGGCTATGTGCTGGTATCCGCAGTTTCTGCCGTTGTTGCATGAGGAGCTGGATCGGGTTTGTGGGGAGAGGTTGCCGTGTGCGGGGGATAGGGCGGAGTTGCCGTTTCTGAGGGCGTGTATACGGGAGTGTTTCCGGTGGAGGCCGCCGGTGCCGACGGGTGAGTGTTTTGGTGGTTTTGTGCACGTTCCGGATGGTGGAGTTGGACTGAGACTGACTGGTCGACCAGGTATCCCGCATGCCCTGACGCAAGACGACGAGTATAACGGCTACCATATTCCCGCCGGCAGCGTCATGCATCCTCTAGAATGGGTATGTCTCTCCTTACCCCTTTCCCTCTCCTCTCCCCAATCCCCCATCTAACAAACCCTCCCCAACAGGCCATATCCCGCACACCCTCCCTCTACCCCTCCCCCGAAACCTTCAACCCCCTCCGCTGGCTCGACCCTGCCTCACCAGTCTACCAAGCCCCCCTCACCACCCACCCCACCATCATCGGTTGCTCGCAATTCGGCTACGGCCGCCGCGTCTGTCAGGGCCAGGCCGTAGCAGACGAAGACCTACTCGTAGGCATCGGCAGCTTGGCATGGCTATTCGATATCGGAAGGACCCGGCAGAAAGAGCAGAAACAAGGAGATGGAGACAGACAAGAAAGACAAAAAGGCAAACCAGCACAAGGCAGCAAACGAGAGCGCCACGAAGCAGACGACCAAACGCAAAAGCCCAAGAAACTCCGCAAACCCGCCCCGCACCCACGCAACACCCTCATCCGCCCCACCATCTCCGCCGAAGAACTCCACACCGGCTTCCGCGATTCCTCACCCCCTCATAGCCCTACAACCCCTTCTTCCCCCTTTCCCCAATCCACCCTTCCCTCTCCCCCACTTCCAGACCACTCCCCAGACCTCGCCCCCCAGACCCTCTCCTTCTCAAAACTCCTCATCGCCAAACCGCTTCCCTTTGACTTCGCGCTCACCGTGCGGAGGGGATGCGAGAAGAGGGTGGAGATGGTGAGGGGGATGTTTGATGAGTTGAAGGAAAGGGGGGAGTTTGGCGATGAGAGGCGGTTTTGGGGGGGTGAGGAGGGGAGGGGGGAGAGGTTGGGGTGGGGGGAGGTTTATCTTTGAGGGTTTATTATTTTTAGAAAAGAAGGAAAAGAGGAGCGGAGGGGTTTGAGTGGATGTAGAGATTCAGGCGGGAGGGAGAGAGTGTTGGGGGGGGATGGGGAATGATGCTGTGCGTCGTGTGTGGGTTGGTCGGTCGGTGATTTCGTTTGTGTAGCGTTGATGTCGATTTGTAGCGTCGATGTCGATGTTTGTATTATTATTATTATTATTATTATTACTACTATTAATAGCACTCGAGCTTCGAGGATATACTATCTATATTGAGACCTGACGACGCCGTGTGAAGTCGGGAAGTCGTCTACTTCGATTTGACGGGAAGCTTTTGGTGCTTAAATCGCTGGTGACGGCTAAGATATGTGTTTACTACCTACATACTGTATAAACGAAGTGTGTGCTGATGTATGACGAACAAGGTGGTCGAAAACGCCTGGGTTCGTCTGTTTTGCTGGATGAAATCGTAAATGCACACCTAGACACTTATATATCTTCAAGTCTGCATGGGCGATAGTTGGAGTATAGCGAGGCTTTGGCGTGTATCTGGGTATGATCGTGATTGTTTGGTGTTTAGCGTCATGGCGTCTCATCGCATCGTGCATACATAGAGGCACATAAAGACGTCTTCTGGTGGATGTGTACTTATACGTTCTTCATTCCTGAAATCATATCCTTACAAGCCTCCGAGTAACACGTTGTGTTATCTTCATTCATTCATTCATGCAGGCACCACAGATGCATCATAGTACCATATATTCTTAGACCGATGACATAGCGGCATGGAAGGGTCTATCCTGATCCAATACTCTATGTTGAGGTTACAGATGGAGATGATATGTGATAGGATGTGTGTGCGTAGCTGGACAGGATTTAGGGATACAAGCGGGTTTTGTGTATGCTATATACGGCGTTGAACGGCAGGGCGGACTATGTGGAGGATAAGCTCGTTAGGTTATGAAAGTTTTTTGAGGGATATATTTTATGTGTGGGAGGGATGGGTAGGGGGTTGGGTGTTTGCTGGGTTTGTATCAAGATAGGCGGTTAGTTTGGATGGTAGAGGTATGCGTTTTGGTCTAGATGGTGGATATAGGATAGAGGATAGGGGACTGTAGGATAGAGTGTGAGTATTGGATGATAGATCTGATAGATTATGAGATTTTCTTAAGCTATGGAAGATAGAGTGAATTCAGACTATCACTGTTTTGATAGACTATCTAAGTGGACCTTATACACGACTTCACCTAGCTTTGACACAGTAGAAGAGTATTGGTAGATCTGTTATCAGCAATATACGAGGCTGTTTGAGCCGACCTCCAATGATAATAACTCAATTCTAAAGAACTGTAGTACTGGAAGATCTATATAAGAGCTAGTAAGATATGTATAAATATAAGCTATCCTAGGCTAAAAGTTATAGTCTTATAATCAATTTCAATCCACCTAAGCTAATCGGAAAGATTTGATAGAAGGTAGAGGATGTCCTGTGTCAAAGTACATCCAAGTACCACCAGGTCCATACCATCCTATTTCTCTTATAAGCTAACACATTCTTCTATCCCGCAAGCCCCTTTCAGATGATCACCCACTGAAGAAACTGCCAGCTCACGTATCCATGCATTAATACACCGCTAGCTTCTTCAGCGTGTAGAATATGAACAAGGACTTGATTGATATACTTTGTAATGCAACGCTACGCTACTACAATACACTATATGATACAATATAACCGAGCGGACGAACGAGTAGGGGTAAGATAGTATAAGATGCAATACTCCAGACGATGACGATTCACTATCTTGTTGGGACTATGGCTATAATCCTGATACCACATCCCGAATAGTTCCTGGGGGCATGAACTAGGGCAGGCAGAGATCTAGAGCAGTCACATCACACAAGTCCAACGTGCACTGCAAATCGCATAATGACGACGCTTACTTTCGTATGTAGTACAGAGACAGGCAGCATATGTAGCACAGCCACTCCATCGCACAGCAACTTCATTGCACAGCATAGCACACCACAGCATAAGGCCGGACTCGCAGTTTCTTGCCATGCCTATCTTGCTTTCCCTCTCTCACACTATGCCAATCTCGCCATGCCAATCTCACCATGCCAAATATCGCCATGCCAACCATTTCCTTCCCGTCTTACCTTCCCTTTCCCACCTACTAATGCCCATGTCCATGTCCATATCGATTCCCCTCGGGATATTTTCTCCCATTATTGTCCTCTTGCCTTCTTGCCTTCTTGCCCTCTTTACCCTCCCCCTCTTCCCCTCCCGCCTTCTGCCCTCTTGCGGTTGTATACCCAAACCTGAACCTAAAACTATACCTAGAAGACGCCGACGCCACCGCCACAGTAGCACGGTTGTTATACGACTGTGCGCCACCGTTACACCGCTCTACACATGAACATACAGGTCCACACAGATCCACACACATATATGCACATACATACAGGTCCACATAGATCCACACAGATCTACACACATACATGCGCATACGCACGAACTATATGCCCTTCTCCCCTCAATATCAGATACATCACATTCACCACACACCGCATTCAACACACCACATTCCACACAAACACCACATTTCGCACACCGCATTCCACACCGGAAAGCCTGCAATTGCCGTCTTATGCGTGTTGGATTGCCATGTACGCACTGCTAGACCCCTCATAATCCCATAGGACGCCACTGAACCCTCGAAATCACATAGCACGCCGCTAGACCCTGGAAAGGTCGTGAACACAGCCCTAGGAAATCCCATCGTAAACCCCCCCTACCCAGATATCCCTCCTCTACCTAGTACTACGCCCTGATGATGATGATAAGTAATCACCGCCACCACGATCCCGAATTCCCAGCATCCCAGCATCCCAGCATCCAGCATCCCAATCTCTTACAGACACAAGATCATCCTGTCCCTTGCCTCGCGTTTGCCCTGCCCCTTTCTTCCCCTCCCCTCCCCTTTGTAAGACCCTGTAAGACCCTGGAAAGTCTCCTACCCACCCGAGAGGATTTCGATCCCAAGAGAGGGGAATTCCCAGAAAGCGTTGGTAATTCCCAGCACGAGCGCACACAGCCCCCCTCCGCCACCCCGCGTCCGAGCCGCTATATCCGAGATCTAGATAGCGGAGATGATTCCGGGTATGTTACTCGGAGAGGGGAAGGGGGCTTTCATTCTTTGTTCTCGGTCTCTCTTTATTCGCTCCACCTTTCTTCCTCTACTTCTTTCTGTGATCACCTTGAAGTGCGTGTTTACGTACTGTCTTGCGTTTCGGTCTGGCGATTATAGATAATAATATACCACTAAGGGAGGATTCTGCGGAATGGTACCTACACCTACTCACAGAGAACTGAATATACCAAAAGTGATAAGCACATATAATATCACATACGACGCAAGAAGGGGTAGGATACATGAATGGCAGGTGGATGGATGGATGAATGAGCGGGTGTATAGTACAGAGTCAAGGAGTCATGGGATTAACGAGTGGGGCATGGAGAATAGGTATGGATATGCAGAGTTTTTAGCGACGAGGAGTTGATGATGAGGGGAGTCATATGCAGGTGAATGGGACAGATGAGCGGATCTAGGAACTTCGTGTATGGCAGTTTGTTGTCTGGTGGGAAAGGGCTTGGGAATGCTGTGTGTTGTAGGACGAGGGAGGCGATGTGGAAGGAATGGAGGGGGAGGGGGAAGGGGAGGGGGATTGGGGCGGTGAGTAGTGAGTAGTGAATGGTAAGATCCGCAGTGTGATGGGATGCGACGTGAGATGTGGGATGCGAGATGCCAGGTGCAACGAGCTGAGATGTAACGAGACAACCAGCCGTACACCCACACACAACATCAAAAGTCCAGACCACACCTCGGCCGATTGACCACTCCCACGCAATGGATACACGACATACACGTAGACAGAATACAACCCACATCAAACACACACAGAACCGCACAGCCACGCACAACGGCATCACATATCCCCGAATCTATCACCCGCCTTCCCCCCATACCTCTATCAAATCAAACAAACCACGCCCCTCAAACGGGAAGCCTAGATAACATAGCCCGTAAGTTATGCACGTATACATACACAGTTCCGCGCCGCCTTCAAAAACGCTCTTCCGTGTTTTTTTACCCCTCTGTGTCTTGTGTGTAGATATAGTACGAGTACAGTCGAGGCTAGCTAGCTAGATATCATACAGGCCCGCCATCCATCCATCGGGAGACCTGGTAAATTGCGCCATACACGCGCTCTGATGATCCCTTCTTCGTCGAGGGGGTCCGTTGATGCATATATCCTCTATACTTCCACCCCCCTCCACCCCCTGTTGAGTAGCCTGTTGGGTGGTAGTACAGCATCGTGAAAAAAGCCTCCTCTTCCCCTTCTCCTTTCCCTCAAAAAATGCCGTCTTTTGTATTTTGCTCAAGTAATCAGTCAGTCAGTCAATCAGTCAATCGTATCCGCCGCCGCCACCGCCGCTACCCCCTGCTTGCCCGCTGGCACCACCGTATAGGCCGCTTCCAGTGCCTGGTCCGCTGACGCCTACGGTTACGCCGACGCCTGCTATACCGGGTGCTACGCCGCCGCCGGAGTCTGCGTAGACGGGGATGCTGGTTGTCACGGCTGGGTAGGCGAAGGAGGATGGATGGGTGGGTGTATGGGGGGAAGTGTACTGAGCGTAGTCGCGCTGTTGCTGTTGGTGCTGTTGTTGTTGCTGTTGCTGTTGCGGTTGTTGCTGCTGTGCTTGCTGCGGCGGGTAGTCTTGGCGGTGAGCGGGCTTTATGTCGTTCGGACCGCCGGTGTATTGGGATAGCGAGACGGACACGTTGACGTTGTGATGGCCGCCCTGTGTGGGTGCGGGCGGGGGCATGCCGGAGGTGCCTGTTATTGCGGCGCCTGGGTCGCTGTATAGGGGCGGTGTGGGACCCGGGGGGTGGTGCTGCGAGGGGTGAGCGCTGTGGTGAGAGCTGGGGAGATCGGGGGGTTGAGGCGGGTTGGGGGCGTAGCCGCCGGCGGAATGGGGCGCGGAGCCAGGCAGGGCGGAGGCGAGGGAGAGCTGGTTTGTCATGTCGGGGAGCATGTCGTTGATCTTCTCCATCAGCACGGTGGTGTAGCGCGGGGAGTTGGCGCGGAGGTTGCTGATGATGGTGTAGTAGCGGGTCAGGAAGTCTCGTGGAGAAGGGGGAGAGGCGCCGAAGGAAGGGTCGTAGGACGGGTTGATGGACTGGGCGTAGTCGAGGGGGACGTAGGACAATACATCGGTGAGAGTGCACGCGACGTCGAAGAGTTTCTCGATCTAAGGGGGAGGAAACGTGTTAGCTGCCTGAGGCCCACAATATCGCGAGGTAATGAATGGTACAATCGGTGGCCCTTGTGAGAGAGTCCGGGACCCACGAGGCTGGAAGGGAGGAACGAGGAGAGAGGCATGCGAGCGGCAGGCCTGGACCGTGGTGGAGAGAGCAATACGCAGGGCAAGTGTGTTTCCTGCAATAAGCAGCGATGTGCGGAGACAAACACACACCCAGGCCAGATGCCGCAAAGTCGTTCGTCATCCCCCAGATGATCGCAGGCTTGATGCGGACGTTCCCCAATGCGCCGTCTCGTGCAGAGTCGAGCGGATCCGCGAACGGTTACGGCGGACGTCATGCTTGCAGATGGGCCAATCCCAATCCCAAGCCAGGGGGTCGAGAATCGGACATGGGCCAGGGTATAGAATAGCGCCCGGGCAGACAAAAGGAAAATGATGGCATGAATCGTAAACAGATATGACGTTGCAAAGAACTTACCAGACCGACCCCATGCACTTCCATTGCCTGCTGTCTGAAATGGCTTGACATGGCTATCCAGTCGCGTGATATCTCGATCGGGTACTTGAAGCTCATCGCGTTGTCGGATGCGACGCTGGAGATGAAGCCGTGGCTGATGCTCAGCTGCCATACCATGGTCTTGAGCCAGATCTGGCTGGTGCGCAGATCCACAACCTGCGTCTCGGTGTTTGTATTCTCGAGATAGACTGGCAGGGCGTCCTCGAGTTTCTTGTGAAGTTCGAGTAGCCAGGAGGGAAGGCATGTCGTCTGGACCTTGTTCCACAGCCCGATAAACGTGTCGTCAAACGGCCTATATAGGTTGATTAATCGGCAAAACCCTGTAATTGAGATGCGGTCCGTGGGATCTTCGTCCTCAATTGGAGGGTGTATCGTTGCATGCAACGTCAGCGGACGATGCTTATGTAGTGCAAATGCTCTGGGAGTCATGTCAGCCTGACCCCATATGACCATCCATATACATGGAAAATATCCATCTTCAACAAACCTTTCGGTGATAAACAGTTGCCAGAACAAGCGCCGGCGCTGCAGAGTCTCCATGGGATCCAGAGTTCTATATGATTCCTCGTCTCCCATGCCCAGACTGTGCGCATGTGTGGTAGCTTCCCGGAGGTGAAACCAGGCGGTGTTGGGCCTGTCGATGGCAAAAAAACATTCGTACATATAATATGAAGTGAGTACCGTCAAAATGGTCGGATTCTCCGTATAAGTGCCGTTCTTCCGCACCCGGATGGCTTCCTCCAAAAGCGCCTCGCCGTACGCCCCATTCGACGGCTGCGCGGCCGCTCTATACATGTCGAGACCAGGTGGCGGCGGCATGTTGCGCTGCAGCATCATCATGTAGGCGCAAAACACGGTGACGAAGCAGTACGGCTCCAGGGTATGCTCCATGGCCATGAAGTACTCGGCCAGCCGCTGGCGGTGCAGAATGGGCTGGGTGGGATACAGATTCGCAAAGTAGTAGTCGGCACAGTGGTCGGCCAGCTCCTGGTTGACGAGATGCGGCGTCTTTGCCCACGCCGGCTCGAACCTGGAGAAGTCGTGGAGATAGGGGATGTTCTGTCGCTGGGTCTCGCGCAGTTCGGAGATGACCTTTGCGCGGCTGCCCTTGGGGCCCTTCTTCTGGGGGATGGCATTGTATGTGCACTGCAGGCCGGACGTGATGCAGTTCTTACATGGCTTCGCGCTGTCTCCAGTCCCACGCTCGCACTTGACTTTTCGCCGGTGACAACTAGCATCAACATATCAGTGGGAGGGCGCACGTCGTGTGCACACAAAAAAAGCGACACACACCTGTCACAGGCTCTCTTGATGAGCGCTGAAGTGCCAGTCGGTGGAGTCGAGACGGGCGACATGTTCTTGAGAGGTTTAGTCGGCCCAGCCGGAGCTTTCCATGAAGAGGAGAGATCTGAGCCAGAGCTGCTGCCGGAGCCGTTAGGGGACGATTGGCCTTATCCCAAAATGAAGTCACAAAGGCACAGCTGTATGACGGCAAGTGCTTTTTTGATAGAGTAGTCAGCCAGCACGTGGTGCATGAGAGTAGGCCACGAAGATTACCGATCCAGTCGGAGGACGATGTCAAGAGGCTCCGGCGCTCTTTTGAGTGATAGTCATGCTGCAGAAACTCTCACGATAAGTGCAATGTTGAGGGGAGGCATGCCCTGTGTCCAATCGCAACGGCGCCAAGGAGGCACTGTAATCTCATAGGTAGTTGCGAAAGCGACGTCCAGGCTGCAGAAAGAGCAGGCATCTAATACTCGGTAGTGAGACAGAGACCAATCGGCAGAGCATGGAATGGATAGAAGCATTGGCCGTCCAGGGACACAAAACTGATGGACAGGACAAAAGGTAGAGGGTATGTGTGTGTGATTGAGGGAGAGGGACCTGGAAGGACCTGAGGGGACCTAAGGGGAGAGGGTCCAAGTAACATGCAGGCGTCAAAGTCAAAGGTGGGCTGTGCTGTGCTGTGCTGTGTGTGTGTATGTGTGTGTGTGTGTGTATGTGCTGCGTGCTGCCGATCACCTCACAGACTGACTCCCTGTCTGTGCAGGGAAGTACGAACGGGGGAGATGTTATTTCGTGCCGCAGATGTTTAACGATGTCTGGCATAATACCCAAGCGCAGCTAGCACCAATTGTAGGCTCTATAAAACATAAACTAGGAACTTGGTTGTCTCTCTCTATCTCTGAGCACGCCTGGACGGTGGCACAGTTACTATGTACTATGTACATGGCGAGTGGTAGTAGTAGTAGTAGTAGTAGTAGCCGGCCCCCCCCCCCCCCCCCCCGGGTGTAAGTAAAGTTCATATTCCTGGTATGTGGAGTATGTTGCTGTGAACGTATAAGGAAGAGAGGTTCACGGCAGCATTTTCTCTAATAGGGCTGGTTAAACATGAAGGTTTGCTGCACCAATCATGGGGCAACCCTTTACACCCATTACACAAACTTCACCAGCATGTATGTACGTATGGATGTATGTATGTATCTCTAACCGATGGGAGGAAAGAAGATTTGAAGAATTCGGAAGGATCCGGAGACGTTGCCGGCAATGACTTGACTGGCTGGCTGGTCTGTCTATCTGTCATTGTCAAACAAAAGAGATGAGAGCTGGCGGAGCAAAAAGAGTGGGCGGGCTTCCCTCCTCCTGACAGGCAGGGTGTTTTGGGGTGTTTGGGCTAATAGGCTTGTTTGATCCACCGAATTGCCGCACAACAACTACTACCACAAAGCCTCGCCTGCACGTGCCGCCTGGGTTGGAACGTTGAATTGGCATTTGGAAGCGTGGGCGGCCCCCCCGGTTCGCTAATTAACGTGGTCTACTTACTGTAGCTACTTAGTTTGCAGCTCGATGCACGGCAGCAATATCTTCCTAGTGTTGTAGCCCTACTTATGGAGCAACAGCGGGTTGGCAGATCGTCCACGTTGCAGAAGTGAAGAGTCTGTGTTGACAAACTATCAAAAACTCGCCATGTTTGTGTGAGTGTGCTCGAACCGCCCAATGCCACAATTATGCTAATACTGTAGGCATCAAAGTACCGACAAGTAGCGACAAGAGGCCCCTGCGGGCATTGGCATTGGGCTGAGGTGTCATGAGTGAAATAAAAAAACGGCTTGTGCGGAGAGATAGCCGTGATGAACATCCTCCCTCGCACCCTGGCGCCAAGTGTGAGCGCGGGAGCTCCCACGCTGACGGTGCGTTTAGCAGTACCAGTCTTTGTACCAGGGACCATTCCATAATTTAAATGGTAATAATAGGGTGCCTACATCTACCTCTATCTCGGATGACGACGGGAGATTAGCCACGCGGTCTCTCATTTGTGGCTGCTTGTATCTGTGCCTTTTCTCCAGAGCCAGCCCCAGTATAATCAGCCCAGCAAGGAGCCCAGCAGCCCTCGTTCCGGTCGTGATCAGTATCAATGTAGAAAGAGAGATGTATGTGTGTGTCGCTCTCGATTGCTCCCGACGAACACGAGAACGACGACACGCACACCTGGCTGGCAGGTCAGCAAGCAACCAACCAGGCAAATCATCGTCCTGGACCGGATGTCCCACACACGCCTCCTGCTTGGGGTAAAGATAGGCACACACTGTATGTAGCGGGCGGTATAGCGTCCTAGTCCCAGGCAACACAGAAAGGACATTCCGAGAGCGTTGGTGAGGAGGGTTTACCATTCAGCGTGCATCCCGGGATATAGCTTCAGATCATTCGACTTTTCCCACACTCACTAACCCCCCACCCCCCTGGTCCTTTTTCTAGCATGCTCCTCATCCCATAACCGACGCACGGCCTCTCTCGTCAAAGCCTGAAACCAGAAAGTGCGAAGAGAAAGTTGATGGGAGCATCGTCGAGATTGATATAGCCATATCTGACGACTCTTGGTGAAGGACAGTAGTCAGTGGGTAAAAAGGTCGATAGGTGCCAGTTCGTCCGAAGCCGTCCAGTTGTGCCATGCCAGGCAAGCATCCAAAGGCCGGCGATGGTCTCGACCTCACCGGCTCGGCCGTGTTGTAATGCTGACGGCTAAAAGCGGATCAGTGGCAGTTGATAGGGAAAGGAAGAGGCAGGCAGGTCCACAGTCCTGAGTCGACAGCCAGCCCCCGTAGTCATCATCATCAGGGCCACACAGACTGCCTGACAGCCCTTCACCAGCAGCACAGGTCGTAGTCGCTAGGTGTCCTGGCAAGGCCGGCGTCCAACTTCCTGATTCGAAAGGCGGAGAGTGTGCCATGCTGCGACATGTGCAGGCCAGCACAACTGGGGTGTGTGAGGGAAAAAAGAAAGAAAGTGGGCTCAGGTCATGCCATCGTGATGCTCTCTATCGAGGAGGAGGAAAGGGGGGCCGTATATTGGTGCCAGGAGTACTTTGGAGGGGGCGGAGGGATATGAAGTTCAAATAGTACGCGGAGGGCAGAGTGAAGGAGAGAAATGGTTGAATTTTGATATGTCTGGACAAAGAAGAATGGATGTGCTGTTCAGGTCCCATCCATCATATATATATATATGCTTTCCTGAGGCCCGGTGGAAGTGAAAAAGGCCCGTCTGCGGTGCTGGCTGGACAAAACAGCGCCTTTCTTGCGCCGTCGCTGTGCTTGCGGCCTTGGAAGAGTGAACGATTTGGCCGGCAAAGGGGGCTTCTTTGGCGGGCGCCGTTGTTGTAGCTGCAGACCCAGCGACAACTGCGCCGCTTCTTGGGGGGGTTTCGCGCCGTTTCGCGCAGTCTGGGGCGGCCTTGGGGCGGTCTTGGGCGGTTCTTGGGGGGCGTCTTAGGCTGGGTCCCCCCCGTACCGCCAGTGCATGTCAACATTGGAGAGCCATATATAGTAAACAAACACACAACCACAGTACATAGTCAAGAAAGAGTCAACAACATCAAACGTCCTACCACACAGGATCACGACATGCCAGAACCATCGTCGCATCTTCGCATCAGATTTGTCGCACTGACCGACAGGTCCATCTGCCTGCTCCCCTGCCCTCTGTATCAAAGCATGGCACCATTCACTCGTCGCGTTTGGTAAACAAACATCCATCCATGTGCCCGCGCCCAGTCCTAGGGCTGGCTGAACAAACAGTCAGTAGGGTACAGTAGTATACTCAACCCGCCATCCGCCATCAGCATCGCGTGCCAATCGGCCCTATCAAGCGGGCTGGCGCGCACGACAAAGCGCCGGTGCGGTACGCTACAGGAACGGGGAGGGCGTTTAGAGGCGACCATCCATCCATCCATCCATTCCCAACCATCATCGCTATCATCTTGACTTTGATAACTGACAAAGTTCTCACTACGCCATGACTCCCGGCTCGTCCGCACCCTTTCCCTAGCCACAAGATGTAGACGTGCGACATAGGGAGGGAGATAGTTGGTAGTCATTAGCATCCCATCCATAGCCTGACGTTGAAATAGACTGGTCCTGACACACACACACACACTGCGCTGCACAGCCATGGGCGATAACTTACATATGTGCATGGGGGAGGGGAGACTGGGGGCGCACCAGGGGTGGGGGAGGGGGCTGACTATTGTAGTGTATGTACTCATGCGAGTCTTGTGACTTGCTTTCTTCTTTTCTGAAGTCCTACTTTTTATATCCTGTATAGTGATTATGTTTATTGCGAGCGAGCCTCAGACAGACTGCTTGGCTCGGCTTGTGAGCATTCTTTGGTGACCATTGGCGGACTGTGTATATATAAATATATGTATATCTTCATCAAGCACACGAGTCGCGCTCAGGCATAGATACATGGACTGTGTACGACATTGCGACATTGCGACATTGCCCTCCTGCGACCTTGGTAGGCCTCCTCGGCGGACCCTCGTCCGAGCATATCCACGATTCTTCACATACAGTACTATTCCGGGAAACCATCTTGAAACATCAAAACACGTTTCCAGTTTTTACCCATCAACGGCATCTATACCCTAGCGTCTGTCTCATGCTACTGTATCCACATCCTACCTCTCCACAGTGTCCACTCTCGTCTCAAAATCTCATCACAAGAAATTTTTTTGGTCTACATGGGCCCCCAAGCATCATCGGGTATTAGAACGCCATTCCATGCATCGCTGTACAGTACACACACTAAACTCCAAATCGCTCCGCCCAGATAGATGTTCATGTGCCGAAAGCATGCGCGACGGCTCGTCATTATGTGAATTCCACGCGACTACCTCCGCGCTCTGCCCGCTGCCGTGCACGTTCAGCGCGTCGTCTCCTCCGATTGTCCTCGTAGTTACTTGCGCGACTCATCTCCGTTCCTGTGCCAGGTGGACTGCTACCCATCGCACTCTCTCCGGCTGCAGGAATGGTTGGAGGCGGAGCAAGGCTTGCATGGTCCGTCGTTGCAGCTGCAGGATGCGGTGCTCCAAGTGGTGGCGGTCCAGGAGGTGGGCCTGGCAATGGATACGGTAACGCAACCGCAGGAGCATTGCTCGACGAGCCCATCTGCTGCTGTTGTTGTTGTGCTTGTGCTGCTTCAGTTGCTGCCACTCTACGCCATCGCTCGTCGTCCACGTTGCTGAACGAGCTGACACTGCCGCCGCGATTACCACGCTGCTGTCTCTCCTTTCGCCGGTGTTCACGCTCTGCTCGAGCTTCCTCCTCATTCAGCCTTCTTAATGTGACATGACGTCCGTCTTCGTGCATCTTGACTTTGACAGACACGGGAGGCGAGTTCATGCTGTTGTCGGCATTACTGCGCTGGCCGCTGCCATCTCTACGCGATGATGATGCACCTGCTGGAGGTGGCGCAGATGAGCTGGCTGCTTGATGGTGCCGTCGATGCGGTCGACCTCCTGCAGAGAAATACTCCTCGGACCCAGACTCAAAGCCCGGAGGCGGAATGCCTTGAGACTGGGGCGGAGCTGGCACTGGAGCTATACTCGACACACTGGTGACATCAGCACTATGCAATGGAGGTGCGACTGAACTCTGGGCAGGTCGTGGTGGGTGATGTCGTGAGAGTGCTGGAGTGCTACCAGTGATGTCGGTATCGTCATCAGTGAAAGAACCAGTGCGTCCGCCTCGTCGTGGTCCGGGAGTCCCGTCTCCAGTGTAGTGCCTTCGTTGACTGTTCGTTCGTGCCATTCTCTCCTTTTCAATCTCCTGTGCACGAATTGCCTCTACCCGTGCGTCTTCCTTTTTACGTCGTCTTTGGCCTAACTTGTGTTTCAAGAATCCTGCAAAGCCGAGCACGGCAAGTCCTTCTTTGATACCAAAATCACGGCGATGATAATCATGGTCATCTTCATCTCGTTCGTCGCTAAAGCTCGAGTATGAGTCGATCGAGTTCCCACTCCGCCTTCTCAGTGATGCTCTTCTCGAAGGACTTCCGTATGATGCCGCACTCGCACCTGCTGTCGCCGCCGCCGCCGCTGCTGCTGCTGCCGGTCCAACAGATGGTCGTCGACCATGGGGCCGCAGTCGATCGTTGGCTGGCGATGCTGGCGCTAGGCCTTCTTCTACTCTGCTTATGTCTGTCTGGGTCATCTCTGAAGCGCCAGCACGAGGTGGACGATAACTCGACACGTCACTTTCAACCTCCTGGGGTTTCCTTCGGTTGAACAGCCCCCTAAAAGCAGCTATAGCACCAAGACCAGCGCCTGCACCGAGAAGTCGGTTTCTCCACGTGTGATTCTTTTTCTCGTGCTCATGGTACTTTTCACGACCAACTGACTCGGAGCGCCGCGGGGATCGTGAGCTATGACGAGAACTGATGACCTCCCGTCTCTCTCTTGACCTATGTCGACTTTGCGAGCGTCTTCTCAGTGCTGCCAACGCTGCGCCCGCTCCTCCTGCAGCGGCTAATGCACCCAGTCCATGCCCTCCCCGGCGGCTTCTCCTCTCCTCTGTTATCTCAGTTACGCCCTCACTGTAGATACTACTGCCCTTGTCGTAATATCCGGTTGATGGCCGATAGTGGAAACTCAGACCAATGTAGAGGACTAGAAGGAAGAACCCCCACAAGGCAAACAGGATAAATAGAACTTCTGGTGATCCGTAAAGGGTTAGGCCAAGTGCGACCTGTGTGAAGCCGAGAAGGGCGATGGCTCTACCAACCCACTGATGAAGGAATAGCTTGAACGGTATGCGGATCCGGTCCTTTCCTTTTTCTCGGTGATGAGTCCATGCGCCGAAAGTAGCTTGTAAAAGGATGAAGATGTAGAGAGTCAATCCTATGCCATGGTGGGGATTTGTAAGACTTCTTGCTTGGCCCACGGCGAACCAACCTAGTACGAAAACTACAGTAGATAGCAGTACCGTCAGTATCTGGAGCCAGATGTGATATCGAAGAGCCATTCGGGCGTTTCTGTGGTAGAATGCAGCGATCATTATAGCAGCGGGCACGACCCCGAGAAAAGTAATGGCAGCGACAATGCCATGACCTTTTATAATGCTATGATATCCCGGCATGTCCAGAAAGCGATTTCCCATACCTAGTCCCTGTCAGCTTGGTGCTCTACCTCTCCTGTATCCTCGTCAGTCTTACCATTATAGCGCATCGTCGCAAAGTTTAGCCCTACGAGGTTGGGCAACAGGAAAGTATTTCTTGACGAATCCCACGTTCCATCCCCAACATACATTGTGTCCGAGTTGTATGTGCTGCTGCCGGCCGGCGCCAGCTGCGGATTTGGCGACATGTTTCTTTATAGCGATATGTACAGGCGAATAGAAGGGTATGCGCAAAGGCGGTGAAGGCTGATTCGGAGGTCAACGGCGAGTCCTAGGAAGAGCAATCGATGCTGATGGCTGCTTTCCTATAGAATCAGGTACGTCACGTCGAACGAAGGTCGTGTCGAGTCTACAACCAGCTGGCAGCAGGCGTCAATCGCGAGCAGGTCCGGCGAGGCGGACCGCTCGTTGAAGTCGGTCAGTACGGCGAGATTCGAAGATTGTAGGGAGCGAAGGCGTCGTAGATAGATAGCAATGATAATCACAGATTACGCAGGTATTCCCCGAGTCTTTAGATAGCTTGAACCAGGGTAGGATAATGTGAAGAAAATGTCCAGAGCAAGGTGAGATGGTAGTTGGTGGCAGGGCGGTCTGTGCTTTCGGATGTGTTGTCGTCGATTTTGGCGGGACAACCACAACAAATCGATAATTCCCCCACTAGCCACCAATAACAATAGTAAGGCACCAGCCACTCCGCCACTATGTGGCGATTCTCGTCAAACTTCATCCAATTGCCTTCCGCATTTCCATTTCTATTCGTCTCCTTATATTCATCGTTGCGCGTCCTCTAAGATCTTCCAATTCCCGGCAGTTTCATCGACGCGTAAATGTTCCATTGATGCCCAAAGTATGCCCTAGGACACTGGCAAAGCGCGCTGGTCGTGACACGTTCATATCGTTCGCCCTGCTCTCACATAGTCTGGTCGCTCTCCTATCACACTCTACTCATGGGTGGGCCAAGATGTGAGTATATGAGTATGTGAGCATCTAATGTTGACGTTTCGCTTCCCTCATAGGTATACGGCTTCTCTAGGCCATGTTGGCAATTCACTATCGTTTGTTTCCACGATGGACGTAGTTCTCAGGTATCGCATTCTGATACTACGCCATGTCTGTCTACTAACCAATGATGGCCTTACTGCTGTAGCTGCCAAGTTCTCTTTGTCGTTGTGATGACAAAGGATCAAGGCCACGTATAGCTCGACCCTGGCAAGGTAACTTCTACTCAGCCCCAAAACCGTACGTCGAATCATGAGGCCATGAAATTGCATATATTCTCTTCATTCAGTCTGATCATTCTCGTCGCTGTTCTCCGAGCCTTTATATCTAGCTCCACTCTTCCATGGCAGAACTAGTCTCGTCTCGGTCCATATGGCGACACAAGTTGACGCTTTGGCCGCCAAAAGCACACGATACTGGTAAGTAGATGCAGATGCAGATCTTGTTGCGCCTAGGTCTGGCGTCTGGCCCCTATCCTATAGCGTGCATATGAAGCAGACAAGCCTAGAACTAGCCAGGCGAGGACCTAAACATACGCCATGTAGACTAAGATACAGCCAGCATGAAGGTGGAAACTCCACTGAGCATCCAGATGCCTGATTATGGATCATATAAGAGTCCTTCTCGAGGATGCCGAAAATTCAAGAAAGAAACACGACGTAGTCAACTTCCATCTTTCTTCTGTCGCCATACTGTTTGTTCTACCGTCCCCATGGCATCTCTACTCGCTCAAACACTCGGGTTCATTGGTCCCAAGATAGGCAGTGCCGCCGCAAGCTGGGTCTTCCAGAAAAGTGTCAATTCGCTATTCGAAAGCGACAATGCCCTCATTCGAAACGATATCCGCGCTCTATCGACCAAGGTTGAGCAAATCCAAACATCTGTCAATAATCTAGTGAAACAGATAGACGCTATGAAAATAGTCCTTCGGTCAGACACACTCAACGAAAAGCTCACAATCATCAACAGCCATTACGACACAATCTTATTGATCTTCCAAGCGGTCCTCGATATCGAGAATTCGCCCAAAGAGAAACAACAAGCGCAGTTGAATGATTCGCAGAAACGGCTGCGCCAAAAACTCAAAGACTGCGTTCACGATCTTCCAGAGGCCCTGAAGGGTATCCACGTCTTTCTCGGCGAATCAGGAGAGAACAACATTGTTGTCGATGTTAGAAACAAGGTCCTTGCCGACTCACGCGACTTCGTTGTATATTACAGCAGGATGAAGCTGTGGATGCAACGCTTGTGGCTAGTAGAAGCAAAAGCACTGTACCTGCTACGCATGGCTCACCAAACAGCCGGTGTGAACTACTTTGAAGGCCTCCACTTCATCGAAACTTACACCAAACCTACCGGCATCTTGAAAGAGCAGGCCACCCACTTTGAGAACACCGTCGGTCACCACGTCATTTCCTTATTTGATGCCTTAGCGAAGAACAACGGCTCGGTTGCAGTTCAATTTCGTAACCACGCCCTATCACCAATCACACGGAGAGCAGAAGGGGACCCTATAAACAACGTCTGGCGTCCAGCTCTACCATTCCCAGATGGCGTCAACCTTGCATTCAGTCTGGACAAGCACAGTTTCACAGCCTGGGATCCCTCAGCGTTGACGCCGTATCAATTTACAATCACCGCAAAAGATGCTGCGCAAGGCCGATCGTACTACATGTCCCACTGGTATGGAGAGATTCTAGGCTTCGGTATTCGATGTTACTTGTAAGTCGACCATTTAACTGATGAATGAGCTTTTGCATGTAGCTTACATAAGATTAGACCAGAATCAATCGGAGGCTCCGCAGGATCCTGGTATGTCAAGCCTGGGCCAAATGGAGGTGACTACTTCAATCTGGAGTATGTTCCTGGCCCAAACAATTTCGGTGCTCGAGCTTCCTATTTCCTGCGCCATTCAGAGGTGTATCTCGATCTAGACAATGCGCTGGAGCCTGCTGATGTAAGGTATCGATGGCACTTGGATGTCCAGAGTTGAATAGCATTATGAGAATGAATGCTCAATCGTCGCATCCATTGCCATTCAGCAGGTCAGCAGTTGAGAACTCAGGCTGAGGAAGAAATTAGGAGTCTATCCGGGCTTCAAGGCCATATTCCATACAGAACTTTTGGGTCATGGCCACATACATGATCATAATGATATCTAGAGAGCGCGAATAGCACTGGCAGGATCGGGATGAATGTATATTTATATGATATCCAAGTAGACAAAGTAGATTCATACAGTAGAGACTAGGATGTGTACTACAGAAACTACTCTTCAGATAGTAATACTGAGGAATCTAGTTTTTCCAATTTGTCTTCCTTCGTCATAACACAGACGCAGCCCTTTGACGTCACAACATGCCGGCACGTTATCCCCGCCGGAGTTACCGGAGTAGAGGCATCAACAACATATCAACCAAGCCCCCAGCACACCCAACTCCCCAGAAAGGCTCCAAACAAAAGGACACAACCAGCCATGTCCCGAATCCTCATCACCGGCTCCGCCGACGGCCTCGGAGCCCTAGCAGCCCGAGACCTCCAAACCCGCGGCCACAAAGTCTACCTCCACGCCCGCTCCGCCCAGCGCGCCAAAGACGCCATGGCCTCCTGCCCGGGCGCCCAACAATGTCTCATCGCAGACCTCAGCTCCCTCTCCGACGTCAAGACCCTCGCCAGCGACCTCAAATCCCTAGGTCCCTGGGATGCCATCGTGCACTCCGCCGGCGTCATGCACGGCCAAAGCGGCAAGACAACGGCGGAAAGCTGGGGCACGATCTTCGCCACGAACACCGTCGCGCCGTACGTAATCACCAGCATCGTCGGCGGCGCGTGTCGGCGCTACGTGTTTCTGAGCTCGAGCATGGAGAGTAGTGGGGACCCCATGTTGCGCGGGATCGAGAGCTGCTCGTATAGTGATAGCAAGCTGCATAATATCATGCTGGCGAGCTATTTCGCGCGTGTGCTGAAGGGGGCTGGAGTGGAGGAGAGTAATGCGCTGGATCCGGGGTGGGTGCCGACGGCGATGGGAGGGAGAGGGGCGCCGGGGAGCTTGGATGGGGCTGTTGAGACGTATAGGCGGTTGGCGGAGGGTGCGGGGAGTACGGGTGGGTTCTGGAGACCGTATGCGAAGAAGGGGAGTCCGGTGCATGGGAAAGAGGCTTTTGATGAGGGCGTACAGGGGAGATTGGTCGGGGAGCTGGCGCGGCTGACTGGGGTTGAGCTCGCTGGTTGAGTCTGTGTATATAAAGTAGTTGTGTAAATTGTATACATACCGAGCTTCGTCGCAAAGCAGACACAGATCTCATCAACTGTCTGCCCCTGTTTCTAGGACCGAACAGTCACTGATTGTTACGTCAGAACACAGACGGGTAGGCTCAATTTCAGCCTACTTGCTGTTATAAATCCACGAATTATGAAGAGACCAACTACAGAATAGCTCCCGTGTCAAGATTTTAACAGAAATCTACTACTTTTTATCTCGCTTGTATTGTCACGACTATCATATCACACGGAGCGATGTTCGTTCTTATCTCCAAGATAGGAGTTGTACTTGGGAAGTTTAGTCCTCGAATATAGAAATCATATAGATGGTCGCTCCTGGTACCCCTGACACCTTTTTGAAGGGAACTACTTTCATTTAGCAATAGCTAGCTGCCTATCGTCTTCATTCACACATAGCAAACTTTCCAGTATAGTGACTTCAATAACACCTAGTGGCAACCAGACTTGTCTAATGTTGTGCTCGCACTTGCACAAAGCATATAATGCTTAACATCGAGATCGTATTGAGTTTTTACCAAACTGTTGGATATACACAAGACTACCCTGCTCCTGTCGCACTTATGTCCATCTCAAAATAGCATGTTTGTACCTGGTAGAGCGACGATGCGGAATATCAAAGACCATTCCTAGCCAGTTGATCCATCAAAAGCTCAAAGTCACGACCGCGAATCTGCACGCGTGTGTAGACTCGTACGGTGACGCAACGCCAGCCATCTTTTACACTTTCCCGTCGCCGGTCTCACCACGTCGTGGTGGAACTTATGCTTCGACTCCACGTTCAGCACATAGCAAGTGCGCATCTGGACGGTCAAAGCCGGCAGAACCGCCCAGTGGAGTTGCTGTAGCTGGCGTTTTGCGTACTCGCGGGTATTTGCTTTCATCAGCTGGAGCCCCTCTTCGAACAGTTCTTGGGCTCGCTCTGGATCGACTCCTTTGCAGCAAATGGGTCGGAGCTCGGGGTAGCCGATTGCTTTCCACGCTCCGCGCTCAGCTGGGCCAGTGTCCGAAGCACTGTTGGTATCGGATCTCTCCAGCTCGAATAGGTGCTTGATCTCGTTCTGTATTCCATCGCGCGCCATCTGGTTGATTCGATGATCGATGAATGTCCCCAATATATCGAGGCTACAGTTCAGAGATATGACCAGAAGGTCTTGCTGCTTGATAAATGGATGGAATAAAAGTGGTCGAGTTAGGGAGAGGGAGCCGCCGCACAGGATTGGAACGAAGCCGCGATGATGGATAGATTTGATGCAACGCACCGCTGAAGAGATGAAGTTGGTCGGTTCCTCGTTTGCACTAAGATGCCCTACAAAATGGTGTCGAACTCCTCTCATCTCCTGTGTAGTCACAGCACCGGACAGGATTGGGGCATCTCGGTACACTTGGATGCTATCGACGGAGATGATCTCTCCATGACAGGATTCCGCCAATTTGATGCTCAATTCTGTCTTTCCAACTGCGGTTGGGCCGATGATTGCGATGATGGGGATCTTTGGATTCATGTCTTCTGTAGAGAGTATCTTGACATGGAGACCGGGACATGCGAGGAGATAAGTGGACCATCCGATTCTTATTCATAGGGACTTTTGAAGCAGCAATGAGTACTGTGATCAGAGTTGGCGAACACGCCACTGTCAAGATGCCGTTCCACACATGTCTACGGGGCGTTGCCGTGTGTGTGATCACAATTTGCGCACTAAATCGGCTCAGAAGCCCCTGAGATGATGCCGACCCCCAGGTCAAGCTCGTGACGGTCAGAACAGGTAATTCATGGCTCGCATCTAGACCAAACCTGTTCTCCAACTTCAATTTGGCTCTACACCTGTTCCAGATTAGAAGGCATGATAGCCGGGGTTCTAGAATGCACTGTGCTCAGGAGTCTTCGCATTACCAAATGGAAACAAGCTTTGTGCAGGGAAACGACAGAGACTGCCATGTCGCATGATTGTTGACTCTGTTGTGGACTTGGACTACGTGATCAATGACCTTTGATCCGATCACCAACCTCTCGCTCACTCGATTTCTTGCTCTGGTAGTAGAGTACTAAGTTATGAGTCCAGACAGGGATTCCGGAGGATTGAATAGCTCGATGATAGGCGTTCGAAAGTCAAGATAAGGAAAAGCGTGCAGTTTCTGGCTCCTTGTAGCCATACCAAATGCACCAGCATGAACTATATCACAAGAGTTGCTCAAGGATACCAGCTATAGTTTATGGTCACTCCAACAGAGCGAGTATCGACCAGCGGCTGGAGCCAACTGAACCATCTCGATGAGCTCTTGCATGGTATTGGCAACATTGAAGAGTGCCAAATGAGGGCTGGAAACAAAGCCAACCTCTGCAGACGTACGAACCCAGCGCTGCAAATCATCAAAGAACCCACGAATATTGTAAAGCACGACCGGCCGACCATGGATGCCCAGTTGACTCCACGTGATGGCCTCAAAGAGCTCCTCCATTGTCCCGTACCCCCCAGGCAGAGCAACAAACGCATCGGCCTCCTTGGCCATAATCGCCTTTCGCTCGTGCATGGTCGATACTAATGTCGTGTGACCATACTCCTGTTCCAGGGGTCTGTCCACCCCACGCTCTGTGGTGATCAGTGCCCTAGGTATGACGCCGTGGACTGATCTGGGGCCAGAAAGCTGCACGAGAGACCTTGCCAGGCTCCCCATCAGACCCCGACTTCCACCTCCGTAGACCAGAGACCAACCCTGCGCATGCATTACCTTGGCAAGATCTTCTGCCGCGGTCTCGAACTGAGGAGAGTTGCCCGAGCTGGAGCCTATTGTGGCTTTTGTCAGAGTGCTTTGCAGTACGTATGCTACCGAAAGGGGTCATACCACAGAACACACACAAAGTGAATGGCTTTCGGGTGGCTTTTCTCGCTCCTTCTTCTGGTCTAGCTGTTGGGCCGTTGGTTGCCGTCTCTGGGAACGCTGCAGGACTCATCTTACATGCCCGTCAACGGTAATGAGTGATGTCAGAGACTACTGTGATCACCATAGAATATGAGTTCAGCTTTTATGTTACCCGCTCCAGGGTTTTTGTCCGAATCGGGCCTTGTCATTCATGCCTGATCGGCTCATCGGAATGCCCACGATGGGTTACCGACCGTGTAGACTGCTATTGTCACTACGCTTAAGGAGAGCCGAGACATGTATATCAAGCAGGCCCTGAGGTATTAGTACCGCTAACCATCCATAATTGCAGTAAATGCGCCAATGACAGCCTTATAAATTCATATATAAAGGCTAAGACTAGGCCCCCACCCCCCGTCTCGAGTCTGCCTTACCCAAACCCAACCCTTGACCCCGGAGAAGTCCCACTAACGATCGATCGCTCACGATATATCAATGCGAACACTTTTCCCCCCGGTAAAAATGTGAGAGAGACTTAAGGACTGATACATTACCCCGAGACAAGCTGACCGCGTGTCCTGTAGGGATTGGACATTGTATTACCAAAAGTGAAGCCAGCTAGCAGTCACATAACATGACAGGGGCGACTTAACTTTACTCCTGCCACTCACAATATTATGAGAGCGCGAATGTGCTTCCATTGCAGACGACACCTTGTCGATGCCCGCGCCACTGAATTTGGAGTTGTGTGCAGCCCCGACAGGCTGGCTCGTGCCGGGGTCCTCTATATCTCTCCGATATAACGTAGCTTGTTTATGGATGAAGTAGGGCCGTTTAAAGGTAGCAGGAGCGTCATGCGTCACAGCACAACAACATGAAGTCCAGCGAGTGGTGATTTCCAGCAAACGGAACACTACAATTATAAGTCTTGGAAAACGGACAGAAACGTACAACAATACATCGTCAGAACAAGCATCCCGCTTTTGCATGGCATGACAAGCGGGACGAGATACACAGAGCCAAACTAGCGTGCAAGGAGCAAGAGTAAACCATGGGAAAACTCATCAAAACAATGCAACACCCTGTCAATTTGGTCCCGTAAACGAAAGAAAACATCATGAACCACCAAACTAAAAGTTCCAATAACCCTCTACACACACATTCTCCTTGCACCCCTCCCCTCTACACCCATCACCTTCCCCCTCACACTCCCTCTCCCACTCCCAATCTCACACCCGCCCCCTCAAACCCCCTCAAAACTAACCCTCCTCTCAACCCCATTCCCCCTCCCTGCCCCCTTCTTCCCCGCCAACCCCGCCCTCGGCGTCAACGAAACCCAAAGCGGAGCCCTCTCCCACCCCATATACACCTTCTGCAACCCATGCCAATCCGCGCATCTCGGCGCAAGCTCCACGTCGAATTCCAGAAACAGGCGCGCTAGCAGGATGCGTATCTCCATGTATGCGAGTCTACACGACACGAGATGATGTGAATTAGCTTGGGGTGGGGGGATTTTGAAGGGGAGGTAATGTTTACGTACGTTCTACCGATACAGTTCCGCGGGCCGATGTGGAAGGGCTGGAAGACGGCGGTGTTGTCGCGCGCGAAGCGGAAGTCGTCGAGCCAGCGCTCCGGGATGAAGGAGTCGGGCCGGATGAAGTTGCGGCGGAGGTGGTAGGCGGAGTAGTGGAAGATTGAGACTGTGGTCTGTTGTTACGGGTCAGACAGGGCGAGGTTTTGGAGCGGTGTGTAGGTCGTGTTTTGTCAGAGAGATAGGGGGGAGGTAGTGGAGTAGGAAAAAGGGGCAAAAAAAAACACACATTCGCCGGCACAGCCCGCCCATCAATAACCTCCTCCACACACGTGCGCCGCGGAAAATTCCCCGGAAACGGCGGAAACACACGCAGCGCCTCGGCAACACAAGCCTGCATATACTTCAGCTCGCCCAGCTTCGCCGCCGAAACGGGCACTGCGCCACCCGCAGCAGCAGCCTCCGTCTCAGACCCAGACTCAAACACACCGCGAATCTCCGCCGCAAGCCGCGCCTTGACCTGCGCGTCGCGCAGCACATAGTAGAGCAAGCCGGACAGCAGCGTGGCCGTCGACTCACTCCCCGCAATGACAATCGTGCACGTGTTCGCGACGAATTCGGCGTCGGAAACCCTGCTTTCCGGGCTGGCCATGCGCTCGACGAGGTCGTGGCGGGCGGAGCCGAGGGCGCGGCGGTGGGAGGCGAGTTCGGTGGCGTGCTGGATGTGTGTGCGGCGGGCGGCGGCGAGGGAGGCTGGTATCAGGGCGCTGAGCAGGGAGGTGGCGCCGGGGAAGTACTTTGCTGTGCGGGCGAGGGCGCCGAATTTCTGGTTGCCCATCATGGCTTCGATCCAGGGGTGGTAGTTGCCGCCGCTGGTGAGGCAGTCGAAGGATTTGCCGTAGACGAGGGCGCCGGTGACGTCGAAGCTGAAGAACTGCGGGCTTGGTGGTTAGGATCTGGACTGTCTGTGGGAGTGAGGGATGGATAGGGGGATGAGGAGGGCTTACGTTGAGCCACTTTACCAGGTCGACCTCCTTTCGCCCTCCGTCACAGGCATCATGAAGCCCCTTGATGAACAGCGCACAATACTCCTTGACGCGATCCTCCTCGGCCCGCATCCGCGACTCGGCGAATCCGTTCGCCAACAAGCTCCGGAAGTACGCATGGCGCTCCGTCCCCGCGCCTAGCAGACTCAAGTTCGCACTCGACATGGAGCCGTAGAACAGGGCGTCCTTTGGGATCTCCGGTAAGCCCTTGCGGAAGCCGTAGATGTCCTTCCAGGCCTGGGCCGAGGCGTACGAGAGCTCGTCCGGGGCGATGCGCACGACGTCGCCGTACTTCTCGTGGAGGTCGCGGATGTCGTAGGGGAGTGTGCCGCGGATCATGGCGCGTGCGTACCACAGTCTTGAGCACCGGGCGAGTAGTGGCCCCGGGTATGCGCTCAGGGGCGCGTAGAAGGCGTTCCATATTGCGTTGAGGAGGAGGATTGAGAGGAGCTGCTTGTTGTCAGATGGGGTTCTCTTGTCTGGGTTGTGTGGTTGGGACTCACGAGGGCAGTGATGGTACATGAAGCCCAGATCACGCGTGGGAGTATGTTGGCAAAGTATTGGCTGCTCTGGTCGGTGAAGAGGGCATTCGATGTAGCGACGAGGTGGAGGATAATCCACAGGAGCTGCGTGCTGCGTATGAACATTGCGAGCGAGCGGTCGGTTTCCGGTGGGGGTGTATCCTGCTCCTTTGTGTAGCCTGTCGACATAACACAGTGCTCAGACTGTCTCGACTATCACGTAGCACTAGGGTGCGTTTATTGAATATCGTCTTGTCTTCCAGGACTGGCACTCGACCGTCGTTCGGACGAGTGGATGTATACACACACAACTTGAACAATAACGTAGTTGTCACACAGCAAGTCGAGTATCGTCCGTTTTCTCATCGACCGATGGCAGACAGAGTCGCTCACATGTCAAAAGGTTCTGGACGTGGCAGTTTCCGAGTCATGGATCCCCGACACGAGTGACATGCGTGAAATCCCGTCAGTTCATGATTGAACACCCCCCAGACAGGCCAGAAGGAGCTCGATACTTAAGAGCACGAAATCGTGGGATGTGTAAGGCATCATCCACTGCAGGCTTTCGAGTCGAGGCGGGGTAAAGGTGGAGGTAGGTCGTTGTGTTGTACAATGCGAGTGGACAGGGATGTTTCTCGAAGTGAGGTGGAGTGATATAAATCGTAGCCGCCTCGGCCGCATACCGCGTTTTGCGGGGTTATTAATCCGAGTCCTTGGGATTCCATCGGAGGATATCTTTGGCCCCCCACCATGCAGATCGATGTTTGCCGTCTTCCGGGCGGTGCTGGGAGTTGCAGGTGTCTGGTTGGACAGGGGCTCCGTTCCTAATGTAGATTAGGCTGTGCTGGGTACGTTGAGTTGATGGCAGATGTGTACTGGCATGTTTTGTTTACATGGCTACCACATACTAGACAGAATACATCATCCGGATATAAGTAATTTCAGCCTATGGGCAAGCATCAAACGTTCATCCTTTTGCAAGCACTAGTCCGTACATCTCAACCTGTTCGTTTCCGGTCGTAGACAATGCACACAGGAGCACGAGCCCTATATCAACAACCAACCATGACAAGAGCCAAACCCCAAACATCAAAGCCTCCAAAACTCATAACTATATCAGACTCTCACACCCATCTATCTCCCCTCCACGCCCCCAACCCATCCAAGACTCACTCTCCAATTCCTCAAATCATCAAGCCCTTAACCTTCAACCCCGAAACCATCAGCCCCGTAACCTCCAACCCCTAAACACAATGCCCTCCCAACCACAACAACCACCCTCACAACAACCACCCTCACAACAACCACCCTCACAACAACCACCCTCACAACACCACCCCCCCTCACCCCCAACCCACCCCTCAGTCCTCATCATCGGCGCCGGCCTCGCAGGAATATACATGCTGCACGCCCTCCGCAGCGCCGGCTTCACATGCGCCATCCTCGAAGCATGCGCCGGCATCGGCGGCACCTGGTACCAAAACCGCTACCCGGGCGCCCGCGTCGACACCGCCATGCCACTATACCAGTTTTCCATTCCGGAGGTGTACAAGGTATGTTTTTGTGTCTCTGTACTCATGAACCGCTCTCTTTTGCTCTTTTGTTGGTTTGACTTTGTTTTTCGATGTATGGATGATTGGATGATTGGATGGATGGGCAGATAGACGAATAGACGGACAAACGCTCACGCACGCCAGACCTTCAAATGGCGCTCCACACACCCCACCCGCGCCGAGATCATGGAGTACATAGACCACCTCGACAAAGTCCTCCACATCACGCCCTACGTACACCTGCGCAAACGCGTCGTAGAGGCATCCTACGACACGCACGCCCGCCTCTGGACCGTACAGACCCAAACCACCACCAACGACGACGACACAACCACCAAACCCCCAACAACCCCAACCCAAACAACAACCTTCCACGCCCCCTACCTAATCAGCGCAACCGGCCTCGTCTCCCACCCCTACACACCCCCCTGGCCGGGCCTCAACACCTTCGCCGGCCCAATCCACCACACAAAAACCTGGCCCCACACCGGCATAAACGTGCGCAACTCCCGCGTCGCAATAATCGGCACCGGCGCCTCCGGCGTCCAACTCATCCAAGCCCTCGGCAAAGAAGCCAAATCCCTGATCGTCTTCCAACGCACGCCGAACCTCTGCCTGCCCATGCGCGCACGCACCCTTGATGCCGAGGGACCAGAGCAAACAGATGAGGAATTGGCGCGGGTGTTTGCGCGGCGGCGGGAGACGTTTGCGGGGTATGCGGGTGAGTTTGCGGCGCGGTCGGTGTATGCGGATGGGGAGGGGGCGCGGGAGGAGTTTTTCGGGGGCTTGTGGGCGCGCGGGGGGTTTGCGTTTTGGGTGGAGAATTATGCGGATGTGTTGTTTGAGAGGGGGGCGAATGGGGTTGCGTATGAGTTTTGGGCGCGGGAGACACGGGGCCGGGTGGCGGATGAGAGGAAGAGGGGGGTTCTTGTGCCGCGGGAGGCGCCGCATTGGTTTGGGACGCGGAGGCCGTGTTTGGAGACGGATTATTATGAGGTGCTTGGGCGGGAGAGTGTTGAGGTTGTGGATTTGCGGGGGAATGGGATTGAGAGGGTTGTGCGGGAGGGGATTGTGACGGCGGATGGGGTGGTGAGGGGGGTGGATGTTATTTGTCTTGCTACTGGGTTTGATGCGTTGACGGGGGGGTTGACGGGGATGGGGTTGAGGGGGAGGGATGGGGTTGGGTTGGGGGAGAGGTGGCGGGAGGGGGTGCGGACGAATTTGGGGATGACGGTGTCTGGGTATCCGAATATGTTTTATTTGTTTGCGGTTCATGGGCCGAGTGCGTCGAATGGGCCGTCGTGTATTGAGCTTCAGGGGGATTGGATTGTGGCGGCGATGGTGAAGATGCGGGAGGAAGGGGTCGAGTCGATTGAGGCTACGGCGGAGGCGGAGGCGGCTTGGACGAAGCAGATTCATGATATACTGCGGGGGACGCTGGTACAGGAGACAAACTCGTGGTATAACGGGGCGAATGTGCCGGGGAAGACGGTGGAGCCGTTGATATTCTTTGGGGGATTTCCGGAGTATCGGAGACAGATCTACGAGGTCTTGGATAATGACTTTCGGGGGTTTGTGAAGGTTATGAAAGAGCAGGTTGTGGGGGAGGAATCGACGGAACGTGGTGCGGCGTCCTGTGCAGATAGGCCTATTCATGTGTAGGGCGTATATGGATGTATTGCTCGTGTCTGTAGCCCGCAGAGCGCTTGTTATATTGAATCTCGGATACCATTAGCATGGATCGGATTCTCTTGTCGGCCATGTACTCACATTCCACTTACCTAGGTAGTCCTGAATCTGACTCTCATCGTCCACGGACATCAGTAAGAGACACCGCAAGCATCTCCTGTGATAAAACTTCTCGATTGATGATGCCTCTGATGAATGCTGCCCGCAAGAGCCGCGTATATTTAGACTCCGCCACCTGTAGAAGACACACCAGACAATGCATCTCACCATGCCCACCCACCCGATATTATGATACACCCCAACCCCATACCCCAAAGCCAACACTCTCAAAACCCATCTCCTTCCTTCCACTCTCTCCCCAGCTCCTCCGCCCTCGTCTTCGGGTCATTGCCCCTCTTGACCGCATTATCCCTCAGCCCGTCCAAGATCTTGTTATATTTCTGAATCTCCTTCTCGAACTCGGCATCCTTGCCAGGCTCCGGCTTCTCCAGCTTCTTGAGCTCCTCCGTCTTGCCCTCTTTCTCGGCCTTCTCGATGGCCTCCTTTTTGTTCCGCCAGTCGCGCAGCTTGCCCTCCCAGCCACGCTTCTTCCCATTAATCTCCTGATATTCGTTGTATTGATCGCGGCCGCCGAAGCAGAAGCCGTAGCCGTCGCAGTAGCTATGAAGTGTTAGCATTGACCATCAAATGATGCTCTAGTAGTTGGTGCTTACCAGACATGCTCCTCGGGGCAATGAAACGTCTCCCCAGTCCAGATAAAGTGCCACACGTACTCCCACACGCGCCCACTGATCCCATCCTCCAGCCGCGTCCGCAACAGCCAGTCGCGGTAGTAGACATACCGCGACAGTGGAAGCGCCCGGATTCGGTCCGCGCTCAGGGCAAATTGCGCACAGCACATGCCGGCCAACACCTGCGGAATGGGATCCAGCGGGAAAAGCTCACTCCACGCTTTTGCTAGCTCGCGCTGTTCGGGACGGTGCTCGTCGTCGTCGGTCGCGCCGGGCTTCATCCAGTCCGGGCAACCGGGGTGCCAGTGGCAGCGCAGGTTCATGAAGCCCTCGCGGATCACGCGGTTCGGGTTGAGACGCTTGACAATCTCGGACGAATCGAGACCCATGATCTCGTTGTTGTGCCAGGTCCAGCGATGCCAGTGCATAAAGAGCGTGACGTCGGGCAGGTCGTGGTAGTTGTCGATGATCCATGACAAGTAAATCATGACTTCGTGGCCTTTGTTCTTCGGCGGGTGGTACTTCGCGCTCGGGTCGTTGGCAACGTATTTTGCAATCGGTTGGTTAGGAATCAGTTCCTGCACCCAGTTTGTGTCCTCCTCCTTTGTCGTGGCCATTACCAGCAACGTGCTGAAATTGTATCCCATAGGCCTACTCTCGCCAGGACGGAAGTCCATTTTCGGATTCCAATTCTTGAGGTCTTCAGTCGGGTCATGTTGCTGTCCGCGGTCTGGATCCAGCACCTCGTCGAACTTGTCGCCTAGACCAATGTGTTGCGGTATCCTCCGCCATGTCGCTTCGATCGATGTACTGTGGTAGTAGAAGAGGAAGATAATGACTGCCGCAATCGCCGTGATGGGTATGAAACGTCGCTGAATCATCGCGCTGGATGTATGGAGACCGATGCTGTGTTCCCAGTCGGTAAGGATTGTTCGACGATGGCGTGTATATCTCTACAAACGTGGGCACACCAGCACCTCGATGGCAAAGAGATGAATATGTGCGAATGGCCGCCGCAACATTAAGGAACGGGTATCGAAGTAAGTAAAGACTCCTGAATCCAAGGCGGGCTGGGCAAGATTGATTCTAGAGGTTCCTTGAATGGGCGCCACATTGGGGCTGAGATTCCGCCCCCCGCCGCCCAAAGGCTAGGCTACGTACTATTTTAAAAGCGCCAACATCAGAATACATAATTAGCGCGAGAGTGGAAAGGGAGTTCAAGTCATGTTAAGCAGTGTTTGTTGTCTACGGAAGCTATTTGCCATTACACTGCACGACTCTGCGGGAAATCCATGTGTACAGTTCGAGAGTCAATGCACCTTGCAAGGAACCCCCTTGACCTACAACGCCATGACATCATGAGTGTGTGACATCCTGACAGTAGTATTAAGACCATCGTCTACTAGAGGGAGACGACAGGCCATCAACAACGATGCCACACGCTCTAGACTAGGAGCAGTGTGCGTCTTTGTTCTCGTGTCTCTCGAGTTTACAGCTCGAGGTGCTGCACAGTATGACATCTCGTCAAAAGGCAACAGTCAGGCTTTGCAGATATAGTTGCAATGCTTACAGGCATCTTGCGCAATACACGCCAAGAAGGACCCTGTCTATACGCTTCGACAAAATAGAGCATGTCGAAACGTGCCATGGTTTCAGCTTACCTAGGCGAGAACCAGGCAAACCTGTCTTGGTCTTATTATGTCGAGTCGCGGTGCAGTCGCATACAAGGTCACAGAGGAGGGGCCAGGAAAGGACCTACATGGTGAGTTTTCAATGTTGTAGTGGCGCATGTCAGGTCGAAGAGCAGAGCTAGAGTGAGAGGCGATATGCGGATTGACGGGTAAAGGCCAATTATATAGAAGCGCCTGTCATCTGTGTAGATATATCAAGTTGATGGATTTAGCTCGTCTTCATGGCGTCATTCGTGCATGCTAGAGAGAGATTAAAAGGAGACTCGAGGGCGGTCAGGTGAAGCTGAGTCCCTAGTGAGTGTTTTGGATGAAGCTGCTGATATCGTCAAGGTCACGGGGGAAAAAGGGTCGAAGTCGCAGTTGAATGGTGAAGCGCATGGCGAGTTATGTTTGTTTCGAGGCCTCGAAATGGATTCGTTGCCTTACCATCATCGTTTTGTTGTAAATCTAGGAGAAGTCGCTGCAAGCGCTGAGAGTGCTGTTCACAAGCCGTTCTTCCGAATCCGTTTTCAAAGAGTATGGTAGTACAAATTGCGATGTCGACTCGTCAAGAGACGCAGACAGGCGCCCCGGAAGCTGCTGAGACACCGCGCCGTGCTGTTGCGGAGGCGAAAAGTCGCAGATCGAATTGCCCAAGGAAATCCACATATTATGCCGTACCGTTCGAACCACGGTGTATGAAATGACAGATGGGAAGTTGTGTGATGATTATCGCTTTGCCATCCCGCCGACGCCGATGAAACCGAAAGATGATACTTTTTCCGAGCCACAAATATGATGACTTGCCGCTACAAGGTTAACATGCTCACCAACGGTCGGCCGAGTAATACACACAAGGTCGAGCTTATAACGTGGCATGTCGAGCAACTTTCCGACTTTAAGCGCGAGTAGTCGGACCTGGTCTTGTTAGCGGAAAAGGCATCATCTACGAGAATAGCGGTCGTCACCACGATCTTCGTAAGATCGGCCGCCGCCACGAGTATCATCTGCTGGAGCGCCTCCGCCGTAAGCACCACCAGCTGGAGGAGCCCGGTCTTCGCGATCGTAGTAGCCACTTCCACCACCGCCACCGCCGCCGCCGCCTCCGCCGCGTCGGTCATCTCCACGTCCACCGTAGCGGTCATCGCGAGAAGCATAACGGTCAACACCACCACGATAGCCGTAGTCGTCTCGGTCACGTCGACCACCGTAGCCGCGGTCTTCATATCTGTCGCCACCTCCACCGTAGTTGCGGGAGCGACCACCATAGCCGTGATCATCGCGACGGCCATAGCCACCACCACGACGGTCCTCATACCTGTCGCCGCCGTAGCGACCGCCACCACCTCGAGGACCACGGAAGTCATCTATGACACTGATCAGTGATGTGAAGACGTTTCAGCAGTGGAAAATAGACTTACCGCGCTTGGGAGGGCCGAAGTACTTGCCGGGCGTAGGGGTACGAGGGCGAGCACGGCGAGCCTTCTCAATGCTCAAGGTTCTACCTTGATGGACTTCACCTTGTAGACCTTCCTTGGCAGCATCAGCCTGTTCAGAAGTGACCATCTTGACGAAGCCGAATCCGCGAGAGTCACGAGTGTGAGGGTCACGCATGATGTTGCACTTCTCAACCTCTCCATACTTCTCAAAGAGACGTGTAACCTCCTCCTCAGTCAAGTCAGGGTGTATACCAGTCACGAAAAGGTTGGAGCCAGGGTTGCGAGCACCTTCCTCGTCATCTTGTTGTGCGCCGCGAGGCTCAGCTGGAGGACGGCTGGTCGTAAGAGTTAGATTGAGGGCTTCAGTGTGAGGTGGAAGGCGTTATACCGATCATTGCCACGATCACGATTACCGGGAGATGCGCTACGAGCTCTTGCGTCTTCGTCGCCACGACGGTCAGCTCGAGGTGAGCGGCTGCGCTCACGGTCATATCCGCGATTCTCGTCTAAAGATCAGGTCAGCGCACTCATTCGAGCGTGACAGACGTGTTGTGTATCAAAGTCGAGCAGTAGCATACCTTCGAAACGGCCTTCGGCCTCAAAGTCCATGTCCGCCATTGTTGATGTTTGGTGTGAATAGGGAAGAGGTTTTGCGGCGCTGCGGCTGGAGGTGATGTTTTGGGAGCTGAGGTAAGCTAAGGGAAAAAGCAGCTAGATTCTGGAGGGTTCAGCTAATGCGACCCAAGAACACGATCTAGACGTTGTGTGTATCGTCGAGTGGAATACTTCGCCTTTGATGCGAAGATGGATGGATGTGAGGGAAGAAGCGAGGATGGAAGAGAGACGACGATGAAGAATGTAAAAGTCCGACGCAAGGGGCGAACGAGGCGACAGAAAATCGCAGGGCAACACAAACTGCGGCCTGAGGCAGAAAGTGACGCCTAGCCTTTGAGGCTCCGCTCTGCAGTCCATCCACGATATATTATTATATTGAGTGAGGCGCCTGTGTGAAGCGCGACACGTTTCTCCCTGTAATTACTACTCGCTGGCTGAAACGCAACACGTCTGAATACTGCCTCTATTGCATATGCTCTTTCGGACAATGCCACCGCATGCATCTAGAGCTATTGGGCATACTCAAGCCGGAGCCAATGCATTCCCACGACTACTATGCTTTCAACCACCGCTGTGAGAACGACCTGCCGCAGGGCTTATAATTTCACTCCGGCCATGTCTCACGAGATTTAAAAGCTGTACATGTCATATATCATAGTTCGTTAATCTACACACAGGGGTATACCGGTCCCACTACACGAATCCACTCGCCTGCTTCACCGCCTTCTCCCACCTCTCATACATCTTCTCACTCTGCTCCTTGTCCATCGCCGGATCAAACGTCGTGCTTCCCTCCGTATTCACCGTCTTCAGATCATCGAAACTCTTCCACACGCCATAAGCAAAGCCCGCTGCAATTGCGGCACCTAGCGCCGTCGTCTCGCGCATGTTCGGGCGCTCTACAGGGATGCCAATGAGGTCTGCTTGGGTCTATATGTGTCGTTAGATAAATCGGAGGACGAGAACGAAAAAGTTCAAGGGGGCTAGGAATGGGAAAATATGGGGCTGGGACATACCTGCATGGCGAGATCGGAGTTGCTCATACCGCCATCAACGGCCAGCTGCGTCAACTTCTTGCCCGAGTCTTTCTCCATGGCATCCAGGATGGCTTTTGTCTGAAAGCAAGTGGCCTCCATTGTTGCGCGAGCGATATGGCCTTTTTGTGTATGTTGCGTGATGCCGACTAATGTTGGGTTAGCTTGCAATCAAGTAGATATTACAGGCAGACATACGGATTGTGCCGCGCACATCGTCGACCCAGTACGGCGCAAAGAGCCCGCTGAAGGCCGTGACGAACACAACGCCACCATTATCATCTACAGCAGCAGCATGTTCATTGATTTCCTCTGCACTGTTGATCATGCCGAGGTTGTCGCGCAGGAACTTGATGCCCTGACCTGCCACGGCAATGCTTCCTTCTAGGGCATAAGCTGGGGTTCCATCGAAATCGTACGCGATTGTGGCAAGGAGTCCATTCTTCGAGATGACGGGCTTGCTGCCGACATTATAGAGCAAGAAACAGCCTGTGCCATATGTGTTCTTGGCCTGACCAGCCTCGAATCCTTTCTGGCCGACCAGAGCGGCGGACTGATCGCCGAGAACACCGGCGATTGGAACGTCTTTCAGGATGCCGGAGCTGAGCTTGCCAAATGCCTCCCTGTCAGAAGAGCGCACAATCTTGGGTAGCAAGACCTTTGTTGTGTCGATGTCAAAGAACTTGATGAGCTTATCGTCGTACTTTCTCGTCTCAATGTTCATAAACATAGTCCGGGACGAATTCGTGACATCGGAAACGTAGACGTCTGCGGCCTTGCCGCCGTTGAGCTTGTACACCAGCCACGCATCAACAGTACCAAACGCAAGGTTGCCCGCTTCGTAGCAATCAGCGACTTCCTTGACATTCTTCAACAGCCACAGTAGCTTCGTAGCGGACGGATATGTGGATAGTGGGAGACCGCACAGGTCAAGAAGGCCATCTGCGCCCTCACGCTGCTTGAGTTCGCGAACAAGCGCTTGTTGGCGGATATCCGTCCATACGATGGCGTTGTGCAGAGCTTTGCCAGTGGTCTTGTCCCACACGACTGTCGTTTCGCGCTGATTCGTGATGCCGACGGACTGGATCTGGTTCTTCGAGAAGCCCTTGCGCTCTAATTCTTGCGTCGCCTTCTCGATGCACACGCGGACAGACGAGATGAGCTCCTCGGGGTCATGTTCGTGCCAGCTGAGATGGCGCGTCAGCAATTGGTCTTATCGCAATTCAATACCCGACGCAGACTCCACCCGAATCTGTCCACTACCCCACATCCGATAATCCCCGTAGCGAAGAAGTTGAAAGGAACACTGACCCTGAATGCGGATAGATTTGTTTGAACTCAACCTGGTGGGAGGCAATTGGTTCTCCTCTTTGGTCGAAGATTAGGAATCTAGAGCTGGTGGTGCCTTGGTCGATGGCACCCACAAAGACGTCCTTTGCGTTTGATTTCCCTTCGAGCTGGGCGAGTCTCTTCTCGATGGAGTCATTCTTCTTTTGGAGAGAGTCAATGAGCTCTATTACTTTCTGTAGATACATTAGCAGCTGTAACGCCACGTGTTGCGAATGACGGTACATTATTGATATCTGGGGCTTGCAAGCTCTCAACATTCTCGATATGAGCAGTCTCTTGCGCCGGCTTCAACGAGGATGGGTCTATGGTCGCCATTGCATATGAAAATAGGTACGATGACACAACTCGTGATAAAGACAACGGAGAGGTGCGCGAGAGGATGCAATCAGCAAACACGAGCGCCGAGCTTGGGGTTTTGAGTGACAGAGCAAGCTGCTGGCAAGACAGTTAATAGGATGATAGTAGAGAGAGACACAGAGAGATAGAGGTATTGGAATGAAATGGATTCATGCAGGTGGCCCACAGGGTTCAAGGGGGATTACCCCACCGTGGGGCATCCATCCATCCATATCCATCATTTGCTTTTACCACGATACAATCCACCAATACCCTTCGCCTTCTCGGGCCTTGGGTGTTGGCGCGATGGAACCGACAGAGAAAGGCAAAGGGATTAGCTGTGTTGTCCACTTAACCAATTGGCCGTCACATGTCCCAGCTGTACCAGGCGTTTGATCCGTAGATGACGTTACAGGTTACAAGAGGAGATCGATCATCGATGGGATGCACCGCCACCAGACGTGATTACTTTGGCTTGGCCGTAACCACGCCGCAATCAATTCGAGAGACACATATGGCCGTCTTGTAGCCTTGTGTCGTGTGCGGTAGATGCCATAGCCCAGCATGTCAGGCATATATGATAGGACTGTGTCGTGCGGTTGAAGGCCGACACTGGCCGTGACACCATATGTATATGAGAAGAGCGACAACATCTTGCATCCTGCATCCTGCAGTACCGACGTTTGCATAAAACCTCCGATGCGTCTAATACCGGCCCACACAGCCAATGTGACTGCTGCAGAGGCGGCTGAGTATTACAGCACTAATGTCGGAGGATAGCAGTGCAGTCCAACTATCCACTTCGAGCATCCATGGCTTTTGTGGCCACGCGCATGCCATCCAGGACGCTGAAGTTCGGTCGCTTCCATAAGCTGCGGATCGCTCTCGAACATGGCAGCATGCACAAGATGCATGATTGACCCATTGTTCTTAGTGGCGAGGTCTTGGTGGTGTCGACACATGGTGGTACCGGTGGGTGCACACTGGGGCATTGGTCTTGGCTTGGCTTGCAAAAGAGATATGATATATCACAGCTAGAATGTGGGCACTGACTATCTTACCTGGCGAGGCGTTTGTCGCTTGACTTGAGTCAAGAGTAGCAGAAGAGAGGACAGCGAATACTCTGTTGCACATATGCCGAATACATATTCATATCATCTCGTGCATGTCGCGGGTATCGATAGCCAGCCAGGGAGCGCGTCAAAGTGGATCTCTCGGCTATGGATCCATCCGTCGTTTTCCTAGAACCTGAGTCGGCTTAGCACTCGCATGTTGCGCTATGTCTCCCCCACCTAAATTTACGTGAGACAGACATATTTTAGCATTTTATCATATACTCGTCGCTAACGCGTTACTATTACCGATTATATATATTTAGTAGGTTATTAAGGCTATCTAGTAGTTAGTACACCTATTATATAGTATTCTTCTAGTATTTTTAGCTTATAGTTATATATAGTAGGCCTACCTAGTAGGGTGTACGAATCTAGTACCTATTATTAAATTAACTTCCTTCTTAAACACGATATACCTATAATTACTACCACCTAGAAGTCTTAGGTCTCGAAGGCTATAGTTAATTATATAAGGTATAATCTATCTACGTATAGCTAGCGAAGTAGACCTCTATCTATAAAGACGCGTGGTTATAAGACTATACTTAGTAATTATATAATAGAATTACTATTCGAGTACCTACTCTAGGAGGGATAGCTATACCTTAATAAGATAGTTAAATAGATATATAAAGAGCTTAAGATAGTAACCTTACTATCTACTATCTTAAAGTAGTTAAAGAAGTAAGGGTGGAATAGGCGGCTATTAAAGCGTATTTATTCTTAACGCTTAGAGATTATACGTCGCTCCTATCGTAAGGATATAGCTTAGTTACCTACTAATCGCCTTATCTTTATTAATAAGGTTATCTTTAATAAGAAAATAGAGTAGAGGAGGCGAGGTAGGGCTCCTCGTAGAGAGACTTCTATATAATCTACTAGTATTAATCGAGGCTAGATATATAGCGTATATAGCGTAATCTCTATTAATAGATTTATTACCTATAGAATTAAGAAGGGCTACTTTAATAAGGAAGAGTTTATTAATTAGCTAGAGGTATACCTATTTCCTAGCCTATAAGAAAAGTATCCTAACTAGGTAATAGTTATCGTGATAGATAATCTCTCGCTCTATACCGATAAAGACGTTACTCCTATAGTTACTATAGCTAGCTATACTCTTCGATATACACCGCCTTATTCGCCTAATTATAACCCTATTAAGTTGGTATAGGCGGTACTAAAGGCGTGGATTTGAAGGTGGTACCTATACGTACGTAAGTAATTAGTTAACTTCGAGGAGTTCTTATACCGCGCCTTTAAGAATAGCTACTATAATAGATTTACTCTCCGCTACTTTAAGTATACTACTAATGGCTAGTATATTAATAAAACGCTACGGGAGTATATTATTAAGGATTTAAAGTAATTCGGGCGTAGAAGAAGAAGTGGTTTTATAGAGGAAGTTAAGGATATTAGTTAACTTTTTATAGTACTATTTACTAACTAACGTTATATCGTCCTTACTTATATAGCTTAATATAGTAATATAGAGGTTACTTAATTATATATATATATATATATATACTAAATATAAAGTTCGCGATATCTCTACTTAAAGCCCTTATATAGTACCGGAGGTAAGCCCGTAGAGTGCCTTCGCTACTTTCTCCTACTCTACTACCTTTAGACTATTCTTATACTTATAAAGATAGCGATAAGTATTAAGGACTATTGTAAAGAGTAAAGACGTAGGATAGTAGTCTAATAGTTCATAGAGAGACATAGAAATGTATTTATAGAGTAATCTTACTCTTATATAAGGTTGATTCCTAACGAGTAGAAATCGGTTTATACGGTCTACTTATATAGTAACCTCGCTTAACTTAGCTAACTTAACCTAGCTCTAGCCACTACGTGGCTATATAGATTAGAATAGTTTATATAGATCTATTATAGTTCCCGTCCTAATAATATCCTTCTTCTTTTTATACTTCGCTCTAAAGTACTTAAGTATATATAATCCTAAGTCTCTATAATCTATCATATATCTATATATCCGTGACTAAGTTTCTATAATGTTATAACTATCCTTAATATAGGTAAACTTAAGATTCTAGTTTACTTTTACTAGTTTATATACGCGCTTATTCCTTACTTCGTGGCTACTACCTAGGATATATAATTACTACTTTAGTCGAGTATATATTTAGCTTCGCTCGCCTTTAATTTTATTCTCTAGTATATCTACCTCGCTCTTAAGGTAAGTTATTAATTTATATACTATCTTCTCTAGTTTAGGTTTAGAAGGGTCTATAGTAGTCTATTCTTATTAGAACCGGTCCTATATAACCTATTTACGTTATTATAGTTACTAATTTAGCTTTATTAATTACCGTTAAGGGTAGACGAATATTCCTTCCTTAGATCTCTAGCTAATATATATATATAGATATCTAATACTAGTCCTATCTCTAAGCCTACCTCCTTCTCTTATAAGACTCGCTCTAAAGATATCGCCTCCTCCCTAGCCACGCCGGCTAAGAAGTCTACCTATTACGGTAGTATAAAGGCGCGCTCCAAGTCGGAGAAGAGAGTAGCTAGGGCTACTACTACTACTTCTACTACTAATATGGCCACTGGTCGCTCTAATCTAGGTAATCCTAGTACTAAACTTATAGATAAAGTAGTTATAGATTCTCCTCTCACTCTAAAGCGTACGCCATCTACTCTACCTTCTCTAGAGGATAAAGAAGATCTTATTATAGATAATAATCGCGAGCCCTCGCGCTTACCTACGCCACCGCCTTACCGCTCTTCCTTCCGGTCTAATATAGACCGATTTAGTTACTCTAGGTCCTTTTAGAATCTTAATATTTACTCTAAACCCTAGTCTACTAATAATAAGGCCTAGGTCGCTAAGAATACTAAACGTGGTCGCGGTTTACGCTATAGAAAAACGGCGAACTACGGTTTAATATACTATAAGTATATTAAGGGCTATACGGCCGGCTCTAAATATCTCTTTCGCTCTAACTCTAGTATTAGCTACTACTCTACTAACCGTGACGGGCCTATATACCCTATCTTTACTCTATCTACCCGCTACCGCTACTATACTATAATTAGTAAGACTTATCTATAGATAAGTATAATAGGCTATCTTAATCTAGTATAATCTAAAGTAGTCCACGCTAATATATTCTTAGGTTCCTATATATATATAAGATATATATAACGACCTTCGCGTCCGTGAGACCCTTAGGGGTTCTTATAGCCGCCTATCTACTATATAGAGGGAGTTTAGAGAGCGCTATAAGCTCTTCCTAGAGGTTATTAAAGTATAAGTTATAAGCACGTTAATTATTTTTAATATCTATTAATTTTTCTAGCCGCCGTAAGATCCCTAGCGCCTAGACTACCTATTCTAGGGAGTCTATCCTAGCTATAGAGGCCGTAGAGAGGATTCGCTCTATCCCCCTCTATCTATCTTACGCTACTAATAGATCTTATAAGAGGTCTACTATTTCTCCCTCTAAGTCGCCTTATAAGAGGGTATATATTCCTTTCTAGATTATTCTAGATCGTGTTAGCTAACTTTAGACCTAGTCGCTACGCTCCGGCGCTTAAGGCTCTTCCCTCTAGGCTCTAACGGATCGGGTTATTACTCTAGAGGCTAAGGTTATCGTCCTCCGCCGCTATATCATGCGGTTAGAGAGAACTATACTAGAGGTTAGAATAGATAATAAGATAGAGGAGTAGCTCTATAGTTCTAGCTCTATGGGTTTGGCTCTATATATTAGCTCTATGGTCTAGCTCTATATATTAGCTCTATGCCTGGCTCTATATATTCTAGATCTACTATAGGTGGTACGCGCCGGCTGTAAGGAGGCGGGCTCTACGTACTAACCAACTACACCAAAA